GGCATTTGTTGGTGTTATTATATAGCTCTGACCACTCTAAGGATTTAGCGCAACAACACCCATTTGACTTCGGCAGTTACCGCCTACATCCGACAGGGTTGAACTCAACTGGCCACGTCTTCTAACTAGAACTCTAAGAATTTCATCACGAAGCTAGTTACTAGTGAGCGCATTGTAGGATTTTTCATTATAGAGTTATGGAGGTTGTTCTTGGTTACTGAAATGTGAATCAATTATTGTTGGACCATTATTGGGAACCTGAAAGCACTGAATGACCGTTTCGTCCTGGGTGACGTCGCTCAAAATCCCTAGTTTGATCAGACCTAGACATTAATACCATTCAATACCAGCTCAGTGGTCCAGACATTGAGCGTCCTCACACAAGACCGAAGACCCTGGGTTCGAATCTATCGAGCAGGAGGAGTCGTGCATGTGCACTGCGGAGTCCCGTAGCAGTTAAATACGTCTGTCCAGTGCTTACAGGTTTCTATTGGTGGTCTAACAATGATCGATTCATGATTTCAGTAAGAAATATATTTCATTGTCAGTCAGTCAGTTACAACGTAGAACTTCGTACGTAAGTAATTCAGTTCAAGTTGCTATACCACATTAGCACAGAGATATAATTGCCACTTCAAATCCTATTTTAGTAGAGGCAGTGAAAGTATTAGCAGTAATTGGAGAGATTGGGGTTCGAAGATGTTATTCAATTTAGTGAGGTAAATTTACGAAGAGAAAGATAGAGGTGATGAGGAATTCATTAGGTTAGAATTTCATAGAACACAAAGCGTAAGCACACCTGCACCAATGCAAACGGTTTTGAGCCATGTCATTCAGGGTCTCTAACCATCGATTACTATCATCTCGCGGACCCCAACCAGGTAGCCTACATCTACCAATATGACTCAGTCCACTTGTCAGTGACTTCATGGATTTGTGCCATGTTTTGGTTTGGCCAGCCCTAGCTTTCTTCCAACCTATTCCTACACTACAAAACATAGCTCGTTGAGGCAATCGGTGGCTAGGCATACGTGACACATGTCCCAACCACCTCAACTGATGATGTTTCACTACTTCATCTATTGACTTGCCATCCTTACCTAGGACCCGTTTCCTAACAACAGCATTGCTCACTCGGTTGTCTCAGGATACCCGAGCAATGCTTCTAAGACATCTGTGATCGAATACTAGTAACCTACGAATATCTTTTGCTCTAACTGGCCATGTTTTACAGTCATATAGTAGGACAGTGCACTCATCCTTTGGTTAGCGGACGGATATTTCGTCTATAACATACATGACGCAAGTTAGAAAAAGCCAATCGAGCCTTCTGTATCCGTGCTGTGATTTTGTCAGACATCAGGCCATCAGTACTAATCAGTTTCCCACGATACAAGAAGCGGTCAACACTCAATTACTTCACTCCCTATCATTAGTTCACCAAGCAGAACCATGTCATCGGCATATTTTAAGTCAACAAGCGTGTCATCTGATAGAAGATCAACCCCTGAAAATTCAGACGAAGATAATGTTTTACCTAGAAGCAAGTCTATGACAAACTTAAACAAGAATGAAGAAACTAGGCATCGCTGACGGACACCATTTGAAGTTATGAATTCCGATGAGAGTTCGCCATAAGCTCTAACTCGACCAGTAGTGTTCAAATAGAGAGCTTTCATAAGTTTTTCGTACTTCTCTAGTACACCTTTTAATGACAGACACTGCCGCAGTACCTCAGGATCAACATAGTCAAATGCCGCTTCTAAGTCCAGGGAGATAACTATAATCAGAAGCCTAAATGTGTGGGTGTTCCAGGACCTGTCGTGGTGTAAAAATATGGTCTATACAGCCACGTTAAGGTCCGAAACCAGCCTGGGTTTCTCTAGTCTGCTCCTCACGAGCTCTAGTTAGGCGTCTAAGCATTATCGAGGCCAACAATTTAGAAACTATATTACTTAGACTGATTCTCCTGTGATTGTCGCAAGAGGACTTTTGCCCTTTCTTGTAGACTGGGACAATCATTGATTGAGACCAGTAAGATTGTATCAAGCCCAATTCCCAGATTCTACCTAACATCTCAATCAATCTAGCTGCTAAACCTGGACCACCATCCTTAAAAATCTCAGGAGTTAGCCTATGAGGATCTGTTGCTCTACCTCGCTTTAGATTTCCTATCGCTTTCTCAACTTCGTAAAGACTAGGATGACTTATACCGATTTGCTATTCAAGATGACTGGAGATCGTGAGCGACCTAGGTGTTGCTGAAGGCCAGTTGGACTGGTCTCTAAAGTGTTCTGCCCGTCGATCCAATCTCCTTGATTGAGAATGAATGATGCAAACCATCCTTTTCTGCGATAGTTTCTCTAACAGATGGATTTCTAATACCTGTTTCCTTTATAAGGCGGAAAAGTTGTCCACTGCCTTTTCCATCTCTTTCGCTTCCGCTACCCACCACTGTTCTCGATCGTTGCGTAGGCTTTTTATCAGCCTGCGCCTAAGCTGACTTCGCTCTTCATCATGTTCAGAGCTAGGTGGGATGAGTTTTCGAGCATCCATCAGTTCGGTAGATGCTACAGAGATCCATGGCTTCTCCCTAGCAATATGTTTTACCTTACTGGCAGATATTGCTGCTGTTGCTGCAGCTTTTTTAAATCATTCCAAGCTACCTCCGGATAAGAATTGCTTACATGGTCGTCTAACTGTTTCCATAGTCGTTCTTGAAATATATTCCTAGCTGTGCTATCATTAAGTAGAACCGTAAGAGCTTTCCTTGCGGTGTCTTTCCTACGTCCAGTAAGCCTCAAACAAATACGCGCTCGCATTAGAGCATGATCAGAATCTAGAACCTTACTGTCCCGTTTAGTCGGACAGCGCACAAGCGACTGACTACTGAGATCCAGTCTGGGAGAGCAAGTCCTGCCCTACGACTCTATGCTATACCTACACCAGCGAGACCCCGGGAAACAGCATCAGGACTTCCAGATACACGAAAGGTAAATCGAATTGCTTCCTTATCTTGAAATGATGAGGTCAAATGAATGACGCTACTCAAGTCCTGCATGCGCGTTTCCGAGATGCAGGATACATCGATGGTAATCGCGAAGATAAGTGGGATGTTGCGGGGTGTAGGAAGGATTCGATTGTAACCAGTTTGTTCTCGGGTGGTGTTACGGGGATGAGGGCGGTTGTCACGTGCCGGGTACCCACACCGTGGGAGGGTGTTTCTTGAGGAACCTGAAAAGGAAGGTAGATTAGTGTTGGTCTTAGAGACCTGGGTGCGTGACCACAGAGCCCAGGAGATAACTGCTTGAGGCCGGTCACGCACGGCCTGCTTATGAAGGGTCTTTTGATTATTAACTCCGCTCTTAAAAGCCCTTAGTGGGCACCCTTACTGACGGAGACGGAAATGCGTGAGGTAGGGTTGTGGTGCTGTGGTGCGAACTACTTATAAGTAGTATATGACGTGAGTGTCAACGTAAAGTCTGGTAGCATAATATGGGGGGAAGATCAAGAAAGAAAGAGTCAGAAACAATGGAATTTGTATGAAACGCATGAATAGCGACAATGGATTGATGTTTGTCAACAGGAACAGTCCAGTTCCATAGGATGAACTGATCTTTTGCAAATGAACGATTTACGATATGGTTTTACGATTTTACTGAGTAACTCTGTAATTTTTATTTAAATACAATTCGGTTGCCCCCACCTGTGTTCTCATTCACTCCAAGTTGAGGTGTGACATTTTTAGGGTCGACCTTTTCTAACCCTTCCTTCCTTGTGTGAGGGCAGCATCGTTGCAGATGCTGATTGTCCGAGGGAAACACCTTACTGCTATCACACCCCTCTGCAGTCATTCAGCAGTACGACTTCGCCCTCAGACCTTGAGTAGCCTCTTTTAGTCTCATCGTTCTCCAGTCTACCTATCTGGTTGGCACGGTAGGACCTACAGGAACATATGTTCCAGCCAGTATAGCTCGGTTGGGTGGTCACAATAGGCGAGCCCGACCACCACGTCTAGGTAGCAGCTACAGTCGGGATATTTCATTGGGGCATTAAAAAGACAAATTGATCTAAAGAATTCTTTTTCAGTCGCTTCTTTTTCAAGACTGTTCACTAATATATTGGCTTTAAAACAAAGCATATCAACATTGGTACAAAAAGGTTCCTAAATAATTATGCACCATGTCAATTATTGAATTTGTAAATGGGCTGACTGTCCAAACTGAAGCAGATGGTTTCCTTAGGGGGGGGGCATTTTTCGAGTCTGTGACCCAAAAGTCTAATCCACAAGGTAGTGGAACAACGTCAACAGATACAGTTCTATAGCTATCTGTGACCAACAGTAGGTTCATACTGCATTTTCCCTTCAGGATCTTGGAGTTTATGAAGATTTTAATAAGTATTTATTATGTACCAAAATGAATTTTGAGAGTGAATCTTCATCCGTTGACGTGGCTGGAAAATTTGTTACATATGCCTAACCCCAGTGTACCTTGACGAGCGATGCTTTGTGATGTAGGAATAGGTTGGAAGAAAGCTAGGGGCGACTAGACCAGAACATGGTACAAATCCATGAAGTCACTGACAACTGAGCCGAGTCATGTTTTTATATGTAGACTACTTGTTTGGGATCCGCTGCATGATAGTAACCGATGGTTAGGGACCTTGAATGACAAGGCCCAAAATTATTTTGAATGGCGCAGATGCATCCATTCTTTGTGTTCTTTCAAATTCTTATCTTCTGAATTCCAAAATCATCCTTATCTTTCTCTTTTTAAATTTATTTCATTGAATTTTACTTCTCCAATCATGATTATTGTGAATACTTCTACTATTGTTGAGTTTGAATTGAAAATTCTATCTACGTGTGCTAAAGTAGTATGTCAACCTGCCCTGATGTACGTATGTACAAAGTTCAACGTTGTAGCTGAGTGACTGACTATCTGACTGATATACTAGTGTTTCGATTGGTCAAATCTATTTTGTATATGTTATTTCAGCTCCTCGATTACAACCAGGTGGTGCTACATTGAATGGACATCTAAATATAGTTACTCAATCATCATCGCCACAAATAAATTTCTCGGCAATCTGTGATACAGCGGCTTTAACATTGTCTCAAGACAGTAGTCCTTTATTATTATATCTTTTGATACATCGAAATACAAACTTTCATTCATTCATTATGCAAGATCGAGGATATGAAAAATTGGTAAGAAATTGTTGTTTGATTGATATTGATTTTGTTTCATAAGTTTTTGTTAGTTTCACATGGACGTACATCGTTCAGTTTATTATGAGGTTATTAGGTCAGTCGACCTGTGTTAATCCTTGCAGATTGTTTTCCTATTTAGATCCAGATTCTCCTAGAAAGTTCTCACTGATGATGTGTTGTGGTGCACCAATTTTGACCGGTTTCTACTCAGATAGTGTCTCATTTATTCTCATTCGCTGTCTTCGATCACGAAGGAAGTAATTTATCTCCTGGTGTACTGCACCTGTCATTGTGAAAGTTGAGATCTTCTACAAAGCTCTACAATAAGAAACCCTATCCAACGCTTTACCAAATATATAACTATCACGTCCACTGATAATCCATTTCCTTGAGCTGTCGTCCAATCGTCTTTCGTAATTAGTACGTTAGTTATGCATTATGCTTATTCTGAAACCTATGTTGCTCATGAGTTAACAGAATATGTAATTCTGTATGACTTAACAACCTAGCCAAAAGTGGTTCATGTTTGTTAATGGAGGTAGATACTGGACGTTGATGACATCACTGTGGTGTGTGAAAACAAAGTCTAGTAGTGATGGTTCATGTTTCAAGTCAATATGTGTCGGTTTCGCGGTACATTGTACGAGTACACATTGAATAATAGTGTACAGTAGGCTGGCATCGAAACACCCACCTGAAGTTGTAAGCTTTATCCAGTTGGTGTCTGATATGTTGAAATCTCCACCTGTGAAACAACATTCAGCCGTACTCCAAGTACAGATATAACGTTGGATGAAGTCGTCAGCGAAACAATATGGACTACGATATATACCTCTTGTGGTCTCTAACTCATGTCTAGACTTCATTATACAGCAAGTAACCTCACATGTACCACCAACATGCACCTCTGATGTATACGAAAGTTACCTCTAATATAAAAAAATACTTCTCTCTTGTGATTTATAACCATGACACTTCTAATGCATTTGCATTCTACAACGATTGGGAAGCAGTCTACATCTATGACGAGCCATATAATTGTGACAACGGTTATATCGGGATCTAATTTATCTATCACTAAAATTAGCGCAAACGTTCTGTTTCTAAGACTATGAGAGTTTGTCTGACACACACTTAAAGTGTTCTGGGTATCACTCGTTTTTCTCAAACAGGTCTCGGAAGCATTGGTTTGTTTCACCATTCGTTGTCGAATTTTTAACTCAGTAAGAGTATTCTTCCATTTAATTCAATCAGGTTGGAATCAAATATTCGAATTACGACTTTTGTCTGCGTAATCTATTATGATGTCCATTTCTTCTTTACTTTGGAGTGCTAGCTTCAAGATCCTCTTTGGTTGGCTCTTGCCTTTAACCCACTTACGAGTCTTATCACTTCGGAAAAACCTATTCATTTTTGTTATCTATTTTTTCTTGTGAGAAAGTTCTGCTCTCTGTACATCATACAGTTGCATTCGCCTCATTAACAGTGCAAAGAGTAGATGTGCTTTGGATGAGTAGTAGTTTCCTTGTTCTGACATTGCACAATTTATTACGACTACGTGTAATAATGTTCTGGACAGCGAGTTTCCTCTTTAAGCATATCTATAATGGGTGTCTCAGCCGCTTGATTAAGAACAAGAGTTGAGCTAAGGGCACTAGTGCCTACACTTATTGCTTCCTCATCATTTGATTCCAAACCAACTGAGTGTACATTATCACTCAGGAACTTCTCCATGAAAGTACAAAGCTTCAATTCTTCACTCAGCAGAATCACTTTGGTGTAAGGCAAAATTGTCTAGATAACCACTCTCAGGCCGGTCTGCAAGAATGGTCGGTGACAAATCAGTACACATTTTTTGAAACCTGTCATGCTGTTAACCATCTTCAACATGAAAGAGGCGCTATAGTCCACCACATCGATGATTTTGGATGATCATTCTAACCATAATGATATGGATAAGACGGGAAAATTCTAGACAGCTAAGCACAAAATATCGGAAATTATAACCTTACTATAGTGACTGCATAAATGCACAAAAACAGTAAATTTGGTTCGTTAACAGTTAAAGCAACAAGACGTCAAAAGATCTACAAACCGAACTTAGGAATAAAACCTACAACTCGTTATCTATAATAAATACATAGATTACGCGCCAACAAAAAAACTCCGACTGTTGAAAGCTCGAGTATAAACGTTAAAAAGTTACTTCACAAACCCCAAACAAGGTAAATATGAATTTTAATGAAACTTCTAGTACGACAAACGCAACAGAAATCTAATCTAGTAAAACGTGCAAAAATCCACTTGCGTTCTTCAAATTACCCACTTCATTGTGTCAATATCATCATTTGAATTGGAAAGGGTACCAAAATTATTTGTTCAGTATTACATGTAATTGACTAAGTTGGAGCCATTATCTGGTAAGTATCATATGTACTAAATACATTCATCTGTAAGAGGTTACATATTAATGAGGTGACTTTTGAGTATTCATACTCCGAATGTATGAATACTCCCATTGACCTTGAACGACATGGCTCAAAATCGTCTGCAATGGCGCAAGTTCATCCATTCGTTGTGCTCTCTCAAATCCTGATCTTCTGGAATCGTCAGCACCTCTACCTTTGTCTTTCTAATCTTATCTCACTGAATCGTACTTGAATAATATCTTCAAACCCTAGTGTTCTTCATTACCATTCATACCTCTACTATCTTTATCACTATGGGATTTGATTTGACATTTGCGTCTCTGTGCTAATTTTGGTATGGCAACATGAAATGATGGCTATGTGGAAAATGTGTTTGACTTCCATAAAGTCCCAAATTCGTACGCTGTTTCCACTTGCTTCGGTTTGAACCTCATCTAAAAGTATGCCTCATAACTAAGTGACCTAATAAGTTATTTAACTCCAATATCATGTATGTTTTAATCTTTTGACAAATGTTAAGATTAAAATCAATTTCAATAGCTTTTTGCTATGATATACTGTCGATCATATCAGAAAGTAAATTAATCCATTTAATGTGTACTGTTTTCTCTATCCGAAACTCATTCGTTAATGAAAATTTGTCAATCAAAAGATATATTAATTGGTAACTAAAAATTAACTGTATGATTAAGCTGACCATTGAACCACTTATCTGTACATGTTGTGTTGCTTCAAGATTGGGTTGCATTGGCACCTGAACTAGTGATAGGGAGTTAAGTAGTCTGGGGAGTCTCATCAGTCCCGATGGCCTGGTGACTGACAAAATCTCAGCACGGATACAGTAGGCTCGATTGGCTTTTGCTAACTTGCGTCACTTATGGCGTAGGCGAGATATCCGTTTGCTGACCAAAGGACGGTTGTACTGTGCAGCAGTTTGCTCCGTCTTACCTTATGGCTGTGAAACATCTCCAGTGAGAGTAGAAGATATTCGTAGGTTACTGGTTTTTCGATCATCGGTGTATCCGAAGCATCGCTCGTATATCCTGGGACGACCGTATAAGCAATGATGTCGTTAGGAAATGAGTTCTAGGTAGGGACGGCAAATCAATAGATGAAGTAGTGAAACTTCATCAGTTGAGATAGTTGGGACATGTGTTACGTATGCCTAACAATCGACTGCCTCGACGAGCTATGTTTTGCAGTGTAGGAGTAGGTTGGAAGAAAGTTAGGGGCGGCCAGACCAAAACATGGCATAAATCCATGAAGTCACTGACTAGTGGACTGAGTCATGTTGGTAGATGTAGGCTATCTGGTTGGGGTCCACGTGATGAAAGTCACCATTGGTTAGAGACGTTGAACGACATGGCTCAAAATCGTTTGCAATGGCGCAGGTGCTTTCACTCTGTGTTTTATGAAACTCTAAGCTTCTGCATCCCTCATAATCTCTATCTTTCTCCTAAATTTATCTCACTGAATTATACTTTTCGAATTACATCTTCGCTCCCTAATCTTCTCCATTGCTGCTAATAATTCTACTATCGCTATCACTCTTGGATTTGAACTGACAGTTACGTCACTATGCCGATGTGGTATGGCAACGTGAACTGATGTAATTATGTACGAAGTTCTGAGTTGTATCTCTCTGTCTGTCTGTCTGTCTGACATATTGCGAAGGTTCAACAATAGTGGAAATTAGTCTATGGACTCTTTTTTTTAACAATTAATGCTTTGAATAACTAGTATGTTCCTTATTTATTGATTATAAAAAACAATTGTTTCTTGCTCTATAAATAAACATGTCTTATATTTATTTATTTATTCTCAATCCATTTTTTTTTTCAGCTTCCACCATTATTAAATATTCTGTATAAATCTCAATCACATAATTCACATCTTGTCTATATGGCATTAATTTTATTGCTGATATTTACAGAGAATGAACAATTTGGACGTGATATACACACTACTGTAAGTTAATTTATAATTGTGTTTTTTCCTTATTTTGGTTAATTTATCCTTGTAATTCAATATTTTAATAGTTTTTTTTATTTTATCCAATAAGTAATTGCGTTAGTTGTTCAGTCTGAATTATAAAAATATTTAACTAAATCTGATAATTTGGGGTTTTTTTTAATCGTGGTGTTTTAAAGTTAATTATTCCTTGTTTAACATTTGTGAGAGCTTCTCTTCGCTGATCATTATCTGATTAAGAAATTAATATTCAATCAGTGATTTTGATACACTAACTGTTATTATCTTTCAAACCTCCACTCTTAAGTGATTTGTGATTTTTATTCATGTTTCATGAGAAAAAATTGTAGAACAAGTGAAATTGTGGATTAAGTCATCAAAGTGCTACTTAGAGTTAGATATTCACTATAGTTGCACCTTTTTAGGTCATGTAGAGTACATGCGTTGCTGGGTGATAAAGGAATGTGAGAAGAGTTAGTCGTGCAGACAAGGGGGATGTAGGGTGTGTAGGAAGGATTTGATTGTTACTAGTTTGATCTCGTGTGCTGTTACGGGTATGAGGGCGGTTATCACTTCCAGGCTGCCCACACCGTGGAAGGGTGTTTCTAGAGGGACCTGAAATGGAAGATAGATTAGTGTTGGTCTTGGAGACCTGGGTGCGTGACCGCAGAGTCCAAGGGACAACTGCTTGAGGCCGGTCACGCATGGCCCTTTGATGAAAGGTTTTTTGAGTATTAGCTCCGCCCTTAAAAGCCCTTACCGCCGGAGACGGAAATCCGTGAGGTAGGGTGAGGTGTGACATTTTTAGGGTCGACCTTTTCTAACCCTTCCTTCCTTGTGGGAAGGCAGCATCGCTGCAGATGCTGGTTGTCCGAGGGAAACACCTTACTGCTGTCACACCCCCCTACAGTCAGTCATCAGTACGACTTCGCCCTCAGACCACTCAGCATGGTTAGAGACCTTGAACGACGTGGCTGAAAATCATTTGCAATGGCGCAGGTGCATTCACTCTTTGTGTTCTCTCAAATCCTAATCCTCTCCATGATCAGCAATTCTTCTACTATCTCTACCACTATGCGATTTGCATTGGACGATTGCGTCTCTGTGCTAATGTGTTATGGCAACATGAATTGATGTACTTACGTACGAAGTTCTACATTGTAACTGACTGACTGACTGAGAGTACCTGAGTTGTTGTACGTATCATAGAATACTTTATTCACACTTTTTTATGGAATATTTTACCATTCATTTGACATATAAGGAGACATGCAACCAGGTTTCCATTTCATACCATCTCATCACTAGTCAAGATGTATTGGACACTACTGTATCGCCATGTCAAACTGCCTGTAAGGAGTATTTGAGATGACCCAACCACTTGTCCTTTTTGTTTCTAACTGAAAACAGTTTCGATCCAGGTATCTCGCTTCAGTCGTTTCCTAAATGTGTGGTAGCCTAATGTCTGAAATACTTGGCTTTCAAATATTATGGAGCCAGGTCTACCGTCTATTCACATACTTTGCTTTAGGTAACTGGAGAGTGTTACTAGCCATCACATGCAAAGCGTGATTCAAAACCAGGGACACAAATCTGTACTTGGCAAACAAATTTCTTTGTAGCTAAATGTTTATTTATTATACTAAACTATGTTATGGCATAACATTCCTTAAAAGTTGTGGTCGAAATTCTTCTGGTAAAATTTTTTAGTTGTTCAAAACAAGTGATTGGTTAGTTGTATGCACTAATACTAATATGTGACTTAGTAATTTTAAACAAATTGATATATTTGTTGTACCACAATCAGTAAAATTTTAATTTCTGATTTTTCGTGACTTTACTTCTTCAGAGATTGGATGCATAAATAACAGAATTAAAATTATTTGATTGTGTACTTATTCCTGCACTTAGTTAAACCCTTCTCGTATACCTTTATCACCTCGTGTCTCTAATGCTAACGATTCGATTACATGAAAGGGTTATTCCTGGTCCCGTGAAATCTCACTCTCAACTACATGTTGGGGCTTTCAATGCTCGAACCTTGTGCCAAATAGGAACACAGGCTTCCTTAGCTAGGACCCTAGAATCTCGAGCCATCGATCCGAATAGAAGCTGAGAACCAACTCGTTTACGCTCCGTGTATCTGGAAACCCTGTTGCTGCTCCCTGTGGCGTCGCTGGCGTAGGTGTGGCATTGAGTTGTAAAAGCGAACTAGTTCTCTTTAACTAAATTATAGTAAACTGTAATTTGTGCGCTTTCCGACCAAACAGAAGTAAGAACTTGTAATGTTCAAGTATTCAGATAAGGTGAAACTGAAAGACATCTAGGTGGATTTTATAGTGTCGTGGCTCACAGATTAGATAGTGCCAACCGTTTGCTGTTGAAGCTATGCTCAGATAACCGCCTACTAGCTTTTAGTATAAAGAAAAACATCTTAAATCACAGTGTTTTTATTCTGTGTCAACTGCTTCATAAACTGTTTAACTTTTCTTTTTAAGGATATCAAATGGGTTCAGTGGTCAGCAAATCGTCGACTTTCAAATGTTTCTTACGGAAGTCTAACTGTATTAGTGCTTTGTCGTACCATTCAATACCATTTAAATCAGTTAAAGGTGAGATAAAAAATTTTTCTGTATATTTTCACTAAAAGTTTCTTTCATCTGTTTCATTTATCATGTATATTTTATCAAATGGAATAATTTTCTGGGAACCTAATGAACGTACCAAATACGATGGATTTTGATACATGCACATCGTTTAAGAATTTCGGGCTTGAACATTTTCCCTTGCATTTCTATGTTACTTACTTAATTACTTTCGCCTGTTACCCCCAATGGGGCATAAGCCTCCCACCAGTTTTCTCCAACCAACTCTGTCCTGGGATTCCCTCTCCAGTTCTGTCCAATGTTTGTTCATTCTTCTCATATCTTTCTCTATTTCTCAGCGTAATGTGTTCCTTGGCCTTCCTCTTTTCCTTTTGCCTTGAGGATTCCATGTGAGGGCTTGTCTCGTGATGCAGTTAGGTGCTTTTCGTAATGTGTGTCCTATCCACTTCCACCACTTCTTCCTGATTTCCTCCTCCACTGGAATCTGGTTTGTTTCTCTCCCACAGTATATTGTTGCTGATGGTGTCTGGCCAACTAATCCGAAGTATTCTGCGTAGACAGCTGTTAACAAATGCTTGTATATACTCGATGATGCCTTTTGTAGTTCTCCAAGTTTATGACCCATACAGTAGAACCGTCTTGACAGTTGTATTGAAAATTGTGATTTTGGTTTTGGTTGAAAGTTGTCTGCAGTTCCAGATATTTTTCAACTGTAGAAATGCAGCCCTTTGTTTGCCGATCCGCGACTTCATATCTGCATCGGATCCACCTTTCTCGTCGATGATGATACTGCCCAGATATATGTAAAGGTGTTAACCTCCTCTTCCAAGGCATCACCATCATCAAGAGTGATTTGGTTGGTGCATGTTGTGTTGCATCGGAGAATTTCGCTTTTTCCTTTATGTATGTTAAGACCTACTGCTGCAGAGGCTGCTGCTACACTGGTCGTCTTCTCTTTCATTTGGCATTCTATGTTACATTATTTTATTTGTACATTTCATACATCCCTACTTAAATTGTGTTGAAAATTCTTAGTATATACGTAAATAATCAATCAATAATAAACTATCCATGGTATTGTTTAAATAAGCTTTTTAAACTATGAACTCACAAAAACACTCTATGTAACAAATGAATATATTATTTCTAGCACTTTTGTTGGATATCTTGTCACATCGTATCGTTTCCTGTATAGCATCAATCATTATTGTTAACTGTGTGTGTTCGTGTGTATGTGACAGAATTGTCGACTTTAGACGTACTGTTGAGAATGAATACCTTCAATGTTCCACTAGAATCTCCATCGTGTTTATGAAATCAAAAATATGCATATTAATCAGTAAATGTTTATTCTTTATTATTGATTAGGACAAATATCTTCATGTGAATATTTTGGCAACTTTAGCAAATCTATCCCCTCGAATTACTAAACTTCATCCACATGCTTGTGATACACTAGTTGGGTAAGTAATTTTTCAATTATTCAAATGGTTTATTAATTGTACAGTTTTATAGTGTTTGAGATCACGTTTTTATTTTTCTCCTCAAACATTGACGAGGCGAAAAGTGATTGTCCAGCCAGGGCTCAGGCCGGGTCGGTGGTTACGGAACAAACCACGTAGAAGAGTTGGGGAACCCTGATTGTGAACCAATGATTTACATGAGCTCCAAGATCCTGAAGGGATAAATGGTGTATGAACCTATTGTTGAGCACTTGCTACCGTGAGACCTTGCTATCGAAGTTGTTCCGCTGCCTTGTGAATTAGGACCTAGTAAACCTAGCTCGATTCAGGTGCCCTGGCCCACGCACATAGTCAATGATTCGTGTGGCGTGTGCGTATGTCTCTTAATGCCATTAATTACGAGATTTGTGAACATTTTATAGATAATAAGATACTAAGCTGTTCATTTCTTCCTTATCTTTAATGATGGACTAGTTAAGATCAGTTTCATATTTTAAACCATAAACAATCTACAAATCTCTGTATACTCAAACTACCAAATAAATTGACTATGACTTATCATCTTGTGTAATGTATTATTTCATAAAAGTTGTTTCAGCTTCAAATGGTTTCTTCTCAGTAATGACGATTAATAATGCTCTGTCTGTGTTTCGGACATATCTCAGTTTTGAGTGTCCATCTAACACAAGTAATTGCCCAATCAATATCACATTTACTGTGAAACGATCCGTTGTAAAGACGTGCTTTGACGATTCATGATTTTCAGAGGAATAGTCTCTTTCAGTTTTCTACAGTTTAGTTTCCCTTTTTAATGTTTTATACGACATACATCCAAGGAAATCTATACTGCTTGATTAGTCCGTTCTGTGTTTTTGTCTCTCTCTCTCGCCCAATAAATCTTAGCATAATTGTCAATAAATGAGATAACCGCAAAAAGTAAAATGACCTAATGAACTATCTGTGATATGCAAGAAATGTTGCATTACTAATGTATGTGACTTTCATCATATCGAACGCTGGATATTACCTCGTATTATAATTTCCTATACCATGTATTATTAACCGGTAGTCTCATCAGTGCTGATAGCCTGGTGACTGACGAAATCTCAGCTTGGATACAGAAAGCTCGATTGGCTTTTGTCAACCTGCGTCACTTATGACGTAGGCGAGATATCCGTTCGCTAACCAAAGGACGGTTGTACTGCGAAGTAGTTCACTCCGTTCTCCTATATGGCTGTGAAACATAGCCAGTGAGAGTAGATGATCGTAGGTTACTAGTATTCGATCATAGATGTTTAAGAAGCATTGCTCGTATATTGTGGGACAGTCAAGTAAGCAATACTGTCCTTAGGAAACGGGTGCAAGGTAAGAAGGGCAGATCAATAGATGAAGTGGTGAAACCTCATCAGTTGAGGTGGTTGGGACATGTGTTACGTATGCCTAACCATCGACTGCCTCGATGAGCTATGTTTTGTGGTGTAGGAATAGGTTGCAACAAAGCTAGGGGTGGCCAAACCAAAACATGGCACCAATCCTTGAAGTCACTGACAAGTGGACTGAGTCATGTTGGTAGATGTCGATTATCTGGTTGGGGTCCGCGAAACGAAATTCGCCAATGGTTAGAGACCTTGAACGACATGGCTCATAATCGTTTGCAATGGCGCAGGTGCATTCATTAGTTGTGTTCTTTCAAACCCTAATCTTCTGGAATCGTCAGCACCTCTACCCCTTTGTCTTTCTAACCTTATCTCACTGAATTATACTTCTTGAATAATATCTTCAAACCCTAGTCTTCTTCATTACCATTAATACCTCTACTATTTTTATCACTATTGGATTTCATTTGACATTTGCGTCTCTGTGCTAATGTGGTATGGCAACATGAACTTATGTACATACTTATGAAGTTCTGCGTTGCAACTGACTGACTGACTGTATTATTCACCTACTGTTTTCATTTTTTAAACAATGACTATTTTTCATTAACTTTTTTAATTCAATAATCTTTTTTCCTTGTTTGTTTGTATATTTTCAGTTTACTGGAATTATTAATTAAACGTCATAATAAAAATGTAGAGATTCTGCGTAAAATGTCCGATGACAGTCGATCACAATCAGTTGCTGAAATTACTAAACTTTTATCTAATACATCACTTACATCATCCAATACCGAAGAAGAAATGGTTTGTGTTTTTGATTATTATTATTTTTGTTTGCGATCTAAAAATACTACTGATAAGCGAGCGCATTGTTTAAGTATTCATGACATTTTGCATTTTACGTTACAGTTGTTGTTGTCGTTGTTGATTTCAAAAACAGCTGATCTTGTTGAATCTAATTCGAAGATATGAATTTCTGTTTTTGTGTGATGTAAATTTCATTAATTGTATTCAACCAATTCGGATTTTTTGCCTAGTTGGAGAACAGAGGAATAAACCTACGCATTGATATTCTTTCAAGTCAGTCCGCTATCACACAGAACTTCATACATATGTACATTAATTAGTTCAGGTTGCCACATACCACATTAGCACAGAGATGTAATTGTCAATTTAAGTCCCATGATAGTACAGGTAGTAAAGCTATTAGAAGTAATCGGAGAGGTTAGGATTAGAAGATATGATTCGAAAAGTATAGTTCAGTGAGATAAATTTAGAAGGAGAAAGATGCAGATGATGAGGAATGCAGAAGATTGGAATTTGAGAGAACACAAAGAGTGGATGCACCTGCGTCATTGCAAATGGTCTTGAGCCATGTCATTCAGGGTCTCTAGACATCGATTATTATCATTTCGCGGACCCCAACCAGGTAGTCGACAACTACCGACATGACTCAGTCCACTAGTCAGTGACTTCATGGGTTAGTACCATGTTTTGATCTGGCCGCCCCTCACTTTCTTCCAACCTATTCCTACACTACAAAACAAAGCTCGTCGAGGCAGTCGGTTGTTAGGCATCCACAGCACATGTCCCAACCACCTCAACTGATGAAGTTTCATTACTTCATCTATTGATCTGCCATTCTTACCTGATAACAGCGTTGCTCACTCGGTTGTCCCATGATATACGAACAATGCTTCGAAGACACCTGTGATCTTCTCCTCTCACTGGCCATGTTTGACAGCCATAAATTAAGACGAAGCGATCTACTGCGCAGTACACTCGTCCTTTAGTCAGCAAACGGATATCTCGCCTTCGCCATAAGTGACGCAGGTTGACAAAAGTCAATCGAGCTTTCTGTATCCGTGCAGAGATTTCGTCAGTCACCAGGCCATCGGGACTGATGAGACTTCCCAGATAAGTAAAGCGGTCTACACGCTCGACTATCACTAGTTCAGGTGCCGATCTTGAAGCAACATTTTGCATTTCGAGGATGAGACTCAGTCCACTTGTTAGTGACTTGATGGATTTGTGCCATGTTTTTAGTCTATAACTATAATTATATTACCTAATAATTTTATCACAGTTTAAATTAGTTTTCACAATATGCTGATTATTTTAATTTGTTATTTGTAAAGAATAATCTGACCAAGTTCTTGTGTGTGTTTTCTATTGTTGTTGTTTTTTACTTATACAGATTCAAGAATTAGCTTTATTGGAAGAAGTAATTCGAATGTTATTAGAAATTATTAATTCCATTCTTACGCATACAATGGTATCGAATCCTGACTTAATTTATTCTTTGCTATATAAAAAAGATTCATTTGCACCGCTTCGTTCACATCCATCATTTCAAGTGAGAAAATTGTTTTTATTTTGTGCATTGTATTGTGATGTGATTTGATGTGATTTTTTCGTAGTTGCTCATTTTAATCGAGTTATTTATTATGCCCACTGTGTGTGATTGTCGAATTTAATTTAATCTTCAAAATCGCATTTTATTAAGAAATAAACGATTGTTTGCATACAACAGCGACGTGATAATTCCTGCTTTGTTATGTGATATTTCAATGCAGACAATACAATTTTTTACGGCAAAAGTTTATGAAATGATAATAATCATAATCATAATCGTAGTACTGTAGTGATCGAGAACACAGGTGTAGCAACCGAATTGTATTTAACGAAAATTACAGAGTTACTCAATAAAATCGGAAAACCATATCGTAAGTCGTTAATTTGCAAAATATCAGTTCATCCTATGGAACTGGACTGTTCCTGTTGCAAAACATCAATCCATTGTCACTCACTATTCATGCGTTTCATACAAATTCCATTGTTTTCTAACTGTTCCTTTCTTGATCTTCCCTCATCTTCTGCTGCCACCAGACATTACGTTGACACTCACGTCATATACCACTTATAAGTAGCTCGCACCACAGTAATACTTCAACATTAAATTCAATCTAGTATGCCTTGCATAGTAGATTCGTGAGATATATCTTCAGTGATTGAAATAACATGTAATTTTTCACAATCCAACGAATCATAGATTACTTACGCATGTTACCCCCATTGAAAGCATAGGCTGCTGATCAGTATTCTCCAACCTACTCTGTCCTCCTCTGCCTTCCTTTCTAGTTTCGTCCAATTATTGTTCATTCTTCTCACGTTTGTCTTCATTTATTGGCGTAATACGTACTTCGGTCTTCCTGTTTTCTTTTAGCCTTGAGGGTTCCAGGTGTAGGCTTGTCTTGTGACGATGCAATTGGATGCTTTTCTCAGTGTGTTTCCAAACCGCATCCAGCGCTTCTTCCTGATTTCTTCCTCCACTGAAACCGGGTTTTTTCTCTCTCATAGTAGGTTGTTACTGATGGTGTGGATGTGGAATATTTTGCGTAGACACCTATTAATAAACACTTGTATGTTCTGGATGATGGCTTTGATAGTTCTCCAAGTTTCCGCCACATACAGTAGAACTGTTGTCGTGACATTTGTATTGAACAATGTGACTTTGATGTTAGTTGATAATTGTTTCAACTTTCAGGCGTTCTTCAATTGTTCGGATGCTGCTCTTACATTGTCGATCCACGCCTTCACAATTTTAATCGATACATAAGTGGAATATTTTAAAACTAAACTGACTAACAACAAATTTATGGTTAGTAGTGATATGCGAAAGTTATAAAATACGATGAAAAATAGTCAACAGTTATCAGAGTATTGAAAGCTATGCAGTAACAAACATGAAATCAACTAAAAGTTCTTAGCTAGTTATCATATCCTGTTATTATTTGAATAATAAATAGAAATAGCTTACCTACTCTTGTAAATACATTCATCGACTACAAGAAACCATTTTCCACTCATATATTTTATACAATTGTTACCATAGACGAACAATAAGAGAATAATTATTGTTCTCCAAAATTATTTATAGTCATTTGATTCGTAGGCGGATGTTTTAAAGTTTGTATGTTGGAAAAGAAAAAAGAAAACCCCATTTAGATATATACTTGTTCACCATTCATTCTTCCTGTTTGAATCAATTCTTCCCTGGGATATTATCATCAATGTATATATGTGCTAAAAATTTATCCCTTGCATATATGATTCCTTCATTTGTAGTAGTAATAATAAAATTGTCATATAATCAGTATCTAAATAAATTATACTTAATTTTTAACAAACATCGGTTTTTAGCTCTCGCAAACAACAAGAGTTCACTTATTATTATAGTAATAATAATAATAATTATTATTATTAGCCTTGATGACCTACGCATTGATAATAGATGAAGTAATGAAACTTCATCAGTTGAGGTGATTGGGGCATGTGTTGCGTACGCCTAACCATCGACTAACTGCCTCGACGAGCTTTGCTTTGTAGTGTAGGAATAGGTTGAAAGAAAGTTAGGGGCGGCCTAACCAAAACATGGCAGAAATCCATGAAGTCATTGACAAGTGGACTGAGTCGGTAATTGTCGACTACCTGGTTGGGGTCCGCGAGACGAAAGTCACCTATGGTTAGAGACCTTAAACGACATGGCTCAAAATCGTCTGCAATAAAGCAAGTGCATCTATTCGTTGTGCTCTCTCAAATCCTAATCTTCTGGATTCGTCAGCACCTGTACCTTTGTATTTCTAACCTTATCTCATTGAATCATAATTCTTGAATAATATCTTCTAATCCTAACCTCTCCGATTACTTCTAATACCTTTACTACGTCTTCTACTATTGGATTTGTATTGACAATCATATCTCTGTGCTGATGTAGTATGGCAACATGAATTGATATACTTACGTACGAAGTTCTACGTTGCATCTGACTGACTGACGCATTGATCATGTATCGTAATTCAAACAAGATTGTTCTTTTCTTTTAAAAAAATAAAATAAAATTTCAATCAAACTTCAATTAGATAAATTATTGTTTTTTCCGCAAATTGTAGAATGTACTACAAAATATCGATATTGTATTAACACATTTTTCAAAGAAAATTGAATTTGAATTAGGACCTCAACCAACTCAACCACAAGCTGTTATGCAAGTCATAATAAAACATGCTGGCAATACACAACGAAGTTGTAATTTAAAAGTAAATTTTAATTTTCAGAAAAAGTATCGATTTTTTTTGATATTTTAATCGTTCGGCCTTTTTTTTCTCCTTTTTTTCTTAATAATCTTTTAATGAAAAGAAAAATTAAAAATAACTGACAAATCATAATCATACTACTAAATTGTAGAGATTGTTGTTACCCGTTGACATTATCTCAGCTGATCATATTTGATAAGGTCATGTGTGAATGTTATAACCAATCTTAATAGAATATCATCATAACTACGCATATTGTAATTCAGTAAACTAAAGCAGGATGACATAAACTTTAGAACCTGTAAAAAATAATGAGTATGCAATACAAGTCTGTCGAATTTCTCTCTGGTTTGTTACTCTCTCAAACTATAGTTGAGTGTTGACAGTGTAGTTTATTGAGTTACTTTTTGAAATCGTGAATCAGTTGGTGTAAGACCACCATTGGAAACCTGGAACCACTGGACGACTGTTTCTTGCTGCTTGCGCAAGACCGTGGATTGATCGAAATTAGACATTAACAACGTCAGGCTTAGTGGTCCGTAGGTTAGGCGTTTGCGCGCAGGATCGAAAGCCATGGGTTCAAGTCCTGTAAGTTGAGGAGGTCGTGGATGCGCACTGCTGATGAGTCTCATACCAGGGTGGAACGGCCGTCTAGTCCTTCTTGGTCTCTAATGGTCGACTAACATTGATCGATGCACAATTTGTTATTAACTTTGAAAATGGTCATATGATATGCTCGAAACTATTACGAGTTCATATTACTCGGTAGACAGAGCGAAAAAAAATGATTTCGTAACATGATAGTCTATTCTAATCCGTTTGTCCCTGGTACGGTTAACTATATAGAGAAGTCTTGATGAGGCATAGAAAGTGTATTCTACAAGCACCCAGAAAATACGAGGTTCACAAGCACACAAATCAAGCTTATTTATACAATGATAGAAACGGTCTTGGAAGAGCTACAAAATAGCATACTAAAATAATCCATCAACCAATAACAGTCTTGGATTTTGCGAGTAGAAAATGCAAGCAGAAAGTCAACTGGCGCGAAAACATAGAAATTCAAAATTTCAGGATAAAATTACAAAATGTGGACCTTTCCAAGTCCCCACAGCATTGAAAATAACTTTCTCGTATTAGAACTATACATCTGCCTAATAGCATTAAATACTTGTAATATGTGTATAGAAATTAAAACTTTGAACTTTAGAAGAAGATGACTGTCAAGCGTATTAATTTTTACTTCTACGGAATTGTATTTTTTCTTTCATCTACAATATACGAAATTTGGAATTTATTTTACTTGATCATTAGTGATTCATATGTTTTATTGATTAATTTTTTCATCACCTATCAAGGGGTTTAGGAAGGATTTGATTTTGACCAATTTGGTCTCGTGTGCTGTTACGGGTATGAGGGCGGTTGTCACTTCCCGGCTGCCCACACCGTAGAAGGTTGTTTCTTGAGGAACCTGAAAAGGAAGGTAGATTAGCGTTGGTCTTAGAGACCTGGGTGCGTGATCGCAGACTCCGAGGGACAACTGATTGAGGCCGGTCACGCATGGCCTTTTTATGAAAGGTATTTAGAGGATTAGCTCCGCTCTTGAAAGCCCTTATTGGGCACCCTTACCGCCGGAAACGTAAATCCGTGAGTTAGGGTGAGGTGTGACATTTTTAGGGTCGACCTTTTCTAACCCTTCCTTCCTTGTGAGAAGTCAGCGTCGCTGCAGATGCTGATTATCCTAGGGAAACACCTTACTGCTGTCACACGCCTCTGCAGTCAGCAGTATGACTTCGTTTTCAGACCTTGAGTAGCTGCTTTTAGTCTCATCGTTCTCCAATCGACCTTCCTGGCATATTAGAACCTTCAGGAACATAAACTCCAGTCAATATAGCTCGGTTGGGTGATCACGTTAGGCGAGCCCGACCACCACGTCAAGGTAGCAGCTTCGGTCAGGAACTACCAAAGTCAGACACATATCAACTTATCAAGAAGTGTCAATTATCTTTCGTTATTAATGTAACACCGGTAGTTTCATGTTTTCTCCAACCCCCACCCACCCTAAATTTATTCATACTATTTTTTTTTATTTCTTCTGTGTGTGTGTGTGTATACGTTTACTCTAGAAATTTCCAGATTTGAAATTTAAATATGTTGAAGAAGAATCACCAGATGAATTTTTCATACCATATGTTTGGTCTGTTGTACGACGTCAATCGGGCATACATTTCAAATCGGAATCGCTATTGTTATTCTCACCACCGCATCAAACTATACACGATCCAATCGAGGATGATGATATCAATGGGGATAATATTAATGAGAATAATAATGCTAAAATAAGTAATGGTGAATCAAATCATGATGAAGTATTGGCTTAATTTTTGTGAAACAAAATACTTTCCCACAACTCTGTGTTTGTTTGTTTATTCGTTTTTGTTGATTCTATTGAGCGTATTCGATGTATTTGACGATGTTGGGAATTTTCTTGGTTTTTTGTTTTCAGCGCTGCCTGTGATGAATAATATTTTAATGGTTTTCTTTGGGGATTTGTTACACTTTTTTCACTCTCTATCTCTCTCTCTCTGTCTCTCTCTCTTCGTCACCTTTATATATTTTGTTTTTTAGCTAAAATTTATTGTCCTCTCTTTTTTTTACGAAATTTGTTTTCATATTTTTTTTCTATAGGAAATACAGTGTTTGATTTCTGCTCTCTCTCTCTCTCTCTCTCTCTGTGTGTTATTTTATGTCAGTGAGGAAAATAAACTGTAGCAGTAGTAGGTCTCAATATACATACATAATGGAAAAAAGCGAAATCCTCCGATGCAACACAACATGATGCACCGACCAAATCACTCTTGATGGTGGTGATGCCTTGAAGGACGACGTTAACACCTTTACACATATCTGGGCAGCATCATCGACGAGAAAGGTGGATCGGATGCAGATGTGAGGGCGCGGATTGGCAAAACAAGGGCTGCATGTCTATAGTTGAAAAATATCTGGAACTCGAAACAACTTTCAACCAAAACCAAAATCAGGATTTTCAATACAAATGTGTAGACAGTTCTACTGTATGCAGCAGAAACTTGCAGAACAACGAAAGCCATCATCCAAGAGATACAAGTGTTTATTAACAGTTGTCTACGCAAAATACTTCGGATTCGTTGGCCAGACATCATCAGCAACAACGTACTGTGGGAGAGAACAAACCAGATTCGAGTGGAGGAGGAAATCAGGAAGAAGCGGTGGAAGTGGATAGGACACACACTACGAAAAGCACCGAACTGCGTCACAAGACAAGCCCTCACATGGAACCCTCAAGGCAAAAAGAAAGGTGGAAGGCCAAGGAACACATTACCCCGTGAAATAGAGAAAGATATGAGAGAAATGAACAAACATTGGACAGAACTGGAGATGGAAGCCCAGGATAGAGTTGGTTGGAGAAAACTGTTGAGTGGCCTATGCTCCATTGGGGGTAACAGGCGTAAGTGTAAGTAAGTAAGGGAAAAATAAAAACTGTCTGCTCACTTTTTATAAAAATATTTACTATCTATTTATTTATCTGTTGGAAAGCGTGATGTATATTTACTTAAGGTCAATATTATTATGCTGAAAAACTTCGCGAAGGTAAAATTGAGCTATTCGTTCGTTTGTAGACTGTAATTACTGTACTGCTTAGTTATGTTGTACAGAATTCTATGTGAAGAATGATGAAAGTTTCTACTGATTTTCTCAGATGGAGTTAATATGAGGAGAAACAAGTGAGATGACTAAACTAAAATCCTAAATAAATTTCAGTTAGTTAAACAGGTCGTCATATTTGTATACTGGAAGTCGAATCTTCCACGGTATCGGCAGTCGGGAAGTGGTGTCAGCCCTCATACCCGTAACAGCACACGAGACCGAATCGGTCACAATCAAATGCTTTCTATCCCCCAAACATCCCAGTTATCTCTACGGCTAACCCTTCTCGTATTCCTTTATCGCCCCGCACCGCTAATGCAAACGATTCGAGTTCACGAAACGTTATTTCCGGTTTCCTGAAACCACGTTCTAAACTTTACGTTGGAGCTTTCAATGTTCGGACCTTGTGTGAAGTAGGCAGGCTTCCTTAGCTAATACTGGAATCTCAGGTCATCGGCGTATGTTGCTTCTCCGAAACACTCATAGGATCTGTGTATAACCGATAATTTGACTTCATTTTGTCCGCGTACGTGGAAGCCTCACTGCTGCTTCGCGTACCCTCGTTGGTGTAGGTATAGTATTGAGTCCTATTACAGGACTAGCTCTCTTAGAGTGGATTCCAGTCGACATCTGGGTGGCGAATGTCTATTGCAACTATTCTCAGATAATCGCCTACTGACTTTACACATCTTTAGACATGGGGACCCCCAGAATCGATCCAAATAGACCACATTGCTATCAGCCGCCGATGGAGGGGCTCGACAGAAGACTGGTGCTCATTTTGAAGCGGATGTTTAGATTCAGATCATGCTCTAATCTGAGCGCCTGCGTTTTACTGGACATAAGTCAGCGACACCAAAGCAACCCCTTATTGTCCTACTTAATGATAACGAAATCAAGAGTGCAGTTCAGGAACAATTGTAAGAACTGTCGGACAGCTATGAAAGTGGTGCCATTCCGGAGGCAGGTTGGAATAGTTTACATAAGGTTGTTGAAACAGCAGTGATGTCTGTTAGTAAGGTTAGGCAATAGCTGTGCGTTTTAGTGGAAACTACTGAAATGAAAGACTCTAAAACTCATCCCGTCTGGCTTATAACATAATAAGGAGCGGAGCTTAAGAGCATGCTGATAAAAAACGTAACCAATGATCGCGAACAGTGGTGGGTAGTAAAAGCTAGACAGATGAGAAATGTAGAGGCGATATTTAACAGTAGACAACTATAGAGACTGGAAACTGGTGTTACGAATTTGACTGTTAGCCAGACTATCTTTGAAAAAGATGGGACTATTATTCATTCTCAATCCGGGAGATTGGATCGATGGGCAGAACACTGGATTGCAGTTCAACTGGCCTTCAGATATACTTCGGTTACATAGATCTCCCATCAACGTAAATGGCAAACTGATGTAAATCACTCAGTTCTTAATAACTTTGAAAACGCTATACGAAAACTAAGGCAAAGGTGAGAGGTGGGTCCTGAAAGTGTAACCTCCTGATAACTTTATGGTTGGTGTTCCGTTTTTAGCAGTTGGATTTACTGAGGTCTTGGGTAGAATCTGGGAACCCCCATCTGACTGGTCTCAGTCACTGATTGTCCCCATCTATAAGAAAGGACATTTTTCTGACCACTATAAGCATGTTCGGGATGTGATTCTCTCCGTCGAAATGCAAAATGTTGCTTTAGGATTGGGGTGTATCAGCACCTGAAGTAGTGATATGGAGTGAAGCAATCGAGCGTAGACCGCTTGACTTATCTCGGGAGTCTCATCAGCGCTGATGGACTGGCGAAATCTCAGCACGTATACAGAAGGCTCGATTGACTTTTGCAGGCGAGATATCCGTTTGCTAACCAAAGGTTGAGTCTACTGTGCAACAGTTCGTTCCGTCCCATTTTATGTCCATGAAATATAGCGGATAAGATATTCGTAGGTAACTATTATTCAGCCACATTTGTCTTCGAAGCATTGCTTGTATATACTGGGACAACCGAGTCAGCAACGCTGTTGTTAGGAAACGGGTACCAGGTTAGGATGGCAGATCAATAGATGACGTATTGAAACTTCATCAGTTGAGGTGGTTGGAATGTGTTACGAATGCCCAACCACCGACTGCCTCGACGAACTATGTTTTGTGGTGTAGGAGTAGATTGGAAGAAAGCTAGGGGCGGCTAGACCAAAACGTGCATCGAGTCATGTTGGTAGATGTCGACTACCTGGTTGGTGCCGGCAAGCTGATAGTGACCGATGGTTAGAGACGTTGAATGACATGGCCCGAAATTGTTTGGAACGGCGCGGATGCATCCACTCGTTTTCTCTCAAATCTTAATCTTCTGAATTCCCCATCACCACTATCTTTCTATTTTTAAATTTATTTCACTATATTGTACTTCTGCAATCGAAGCCCTAATCTTTTCGATTGCTACTGATACTTCTACTACCTCTACAACTGTTGGATTCGAAATGACAATTCTATCTCTGCGGTATGGCAAATTTAACTGATTTGCGTACGTAGGAAATTCTACGTTGTAGCTGACTAACTGAGTGAATGGAAGCTGAATAATACTTGCTTTATATAGGAAGGAATTTCGATAGTCTATTTATGTGCATTAAAATCTACCTACAAATGGTTGCATTTTAATAAATAATATTTTGTGACAAAATTATGTGAATATTAGTGAAACATATTCTAGAAAAACAATCCTACATCCATCACTTCATCGGATTGATGTTGTTTTCTGGATTTCTTTAACCTTTTCAGTGACGATACCTAAAAAGAAACCTTGTTACCCAAATTTTAACCAGGCCAATGAGAGGCATAGGCAGACTTGTCAACCGTTGACTGTAGATTTGAGATAGTGAAGTGTACGGAGTAAGTAGGTATGATTTCTGAAGGTTCCTTATTTGAATATTTAGTGAGTTGAGCTATCATAGTTGAATGCTGTTCACTAATCTTGCCTGCTTTCCGATGAATTCATTGATCAACTGGTTATTGAGGAAACTGAACAAACGGAACTCATGAAACAACAACCTAAACGTGCATAGGATACGTTTCTCCCCCTGTGTTAATATGAAAACCAATCTGCTTCATCATTTTAATGTGATATTCTTTCCCAGTTATCTTAATTTCTTGTCGAAATCAGCTCTTGCTTATTTGGTAATAACCACTTAGACTAACGAACATTTGAGTTAAACTATACTACGTTGATCATAAATGACCATTGCCCTACTCTTATCTAATCAATAATATATATGACTATTGAAATCTTAGTCTTAAACAATACGTAACCGTAGTTTTTTAAAATCGTTTCCAATTTAAAAAAAAAACAATAATTTTCATGAATTAAAATTTACTTATTTGTCTCAATTCAAAAAGAAATTAGAAATTATCCAAAAATGAAATATACAAATGTTACTAGACACAAATATATATATATATATATATATATATATATATATATATATATATATATATATATATATACAACTACATACAATTATTTTACTGATATATATTTCATCTAAGGAGAATTTAATTCTGGGTAATTTTTTGACATTATGATGTGAAAGCACTTATAGTTGAAAATTTTCAAAAAAAGTTTGTAAAAAAAAATATATAGTTAATCTGAAGTAATAATGAAGGTCGGTGTGTGTATTTTTTTCACGCCTAATGTTGTCGCGTTACATTTTCACTCTCTCTTTCTTCAGTAAATTAGAGGAGAAACAGAAATGCAGCTTCATCTTGATCTAATTTAGTTATTTGTTCTATATCATTATGTACAGTGAGAGTTTTTGTAATTTCACAAACATCTAAATCAGTATTACTGAATATATCTGAACCATCTTCTGTAAATTGATTAATTGAATGTTTAGGTGATTCAGAAAAATTTAATGTTGGAGGAACATTGATTATTTCTTTGGAAATATTTTTATAATCAGTTAGAGTGGGTTGTGATTTATGTGAGAGAACAATTGGTCTAAAATAGAGAAGACAAAGAGAGAGAAATTTACAAATTGTAATAAATTAAATGTATATATATATATATATATATATATAGGATATAAGAAGTATGAATGAACAGGAGCACCTACAAATTTATGCGCCACACAAGTCAATGAATTTCTGTGTGGGTCAGGATACTGTATCCGAATCGAATAAGGTGAATTTTTGGAGGAAGCCACTACTTCCTGAGCGTTCGGCTTACAGTTCTAATTCACAAGATGACCGATAATAGGTTCATACACCATTTGTTCCCTCAAGATCCTGGAGCTCTCATATGAACCATTGATTTGGAAAACCGGGGTTTCCAACTCCTCTAGATGAAGTATACGCTCCCACCGACCCAATTTAAGCCCCGGTCAGACATACGCTTTTCGTTACCTTAAATTCGTAAACATCCGTGCCTCGAGAACGCAGTTAGTAGGACTTCCCTGAAAATTGACTCTTCTCATTCGTGATCACATCAGGACATTGAAACCTCTATTAAATAATGCTCATCTGAGTACTTAGTTACGCACGATTCATTATTCATAGCTTTTTGAAGGAGGTCCGAAAGCTTTCTGTAAATTCATCTTTCACCTCGTTTGAACTGCAGTCAGTGGGGGCATAGGCAGATACGACGAACAGGCAACGACGGATGTCCCTATCTTTCCGAGTCCTTACTGTCCTGTTCAGTCGGACGGCGCACAAACGACTATCTACAGAGGTCCAGTCTAGGAGAGCTAATTCTGCCCTACGACTCAATGCTATACCTACACACCAGCGAGACCCCGGGAAGCAGCATCAGGGCTTCCAGATACACGAAGAGTAAATCGAGGTGCTTCTTTATTTTGATAAGGTGAAATCAAATTGATAATTTTACTAGGATCCTGTATGCGCGTTTCCGAGACGCAGCGTACATCGATGGCACGAGATTCTAATGTCCTAGCTAAGGAAGCTTGTTGCCCTATTTGACACAATGTCCGTACATTAAAAGCTCCATCATGTAGTCTAGAACGGGGTTTCAAGAGACCAGGAATGAACTCGCATCGTTTGCATCAGCGGTGCACTGAGATAAGGGAATGTGAGTAGAGTTAGTTGTGGAGAGAAGAGAGGTATGTGTGGGTGTAGGAAGGATTTGATTTTGACCAATTTGGTCTCGGATATGAGGGCGGTTGTCACTTCCCGGCTGCCCACACCGTGGAAGGTTGTTTCTTGAGGGACCTGAAAAGGAAGACAGATTAGTGTTGGTCTTAGAGACCTGGGAGTCATACATATCTATAATTGGAGTGAATAATACATGTAATGAACTATTAATAAACTTACTCATTGATAATTTCATTCATATTTGTTTGTATTATAGAAGGTGGTATATTCTCTTTTTCTATTGGTTTACATTGAGTAGTATTATCTAATAGATAATCTGTTTTATGCTGAGCAGAATCACAAGGACTAATTGCAATTGGATTTAAATATGAAGGTGGAAGTGGTTGGGTTAGGGTTGGCAGTGTAGTTTTGATTTTTCCTAGAAATTCATTCAATGTCGGTAACTTATTCAATACATCATCAAGTAGACGATAATTTTCCGAGTTATTAGCAAATTGTTGATGATCTGTACAATGTAAATGCTAAAATTAAGAAGAACAAAAATTACAATTGAAAAAATAGTCTGGTAAATGGAAGCATGTTTCATATAACTTTGAAGCATATCATTACGGAAAAATCAATGATAAACTATACACTGATTCATGTACTGCACATACTGCATCTTCATGATCAGTTGAGATGGCTGGGACATGTGCTACGTATGTTCAATCACTCACTGACTGGTGTAGGAGTAGGAGGTTGGAAGAAGGCTAGGAGCAGCCAGACCAAAACATGGCACAAATCCATGAAATCACTGACAAGTGGATTGAGCCATATCGGTAAATGTAGACTATCAGGTTGGGGTCTGTGAGACAGGGACCATAATATGCCTTATATATTTATGGACTACTGGTTTTATGGGGGTCCGCGAGACGATAACAACCAATGGTTGCACAATTTGAATGACACGGCTCAAAAACGTTTGCAATGGTGCAAGTACATCCATTATTTGTGTTCCCCCAAAATTCTAATCTGCATTTCTCATGACGTTCTACATTTTTTCAACATCTTCAAACCTAAATCTTTCCGATGAGTGCTCATAATTCTATTACCTACACCACAACGGGATTTAAATCTGTGCTATAGCGATATGGCAACCTGAACTGATGTACACACGTACGAAGTTCTACAATCCAGGTAACTGACTGATGTAACGAAACAACACATGTGAAAATCAGTCACATGTATGAGACTTTGAAGTAGAGAATAAATTTCATAGATTTCTTTGTTATGAACCTGTAGCAAGTTAATAATGTCTGAATACATATGGAGAAAAAAACCACAATGCAGAATGTGACACTTTTCAGATGAATTCTAAAATCTCAGCCAGATAATTCGGTATTACAACTTAAATCTATTGATAAATTAAAAGCAATCTTGGAATCGACTGAAAAATAAAAGTGTAACATTGTTTCGAGGAAATTACTTATTTAAACCTAGTTAACAGACCGAATTTGAGTCCATTAATGCAGTGCAAAGAATTCAGTTTCATATCGTTAACCAAGAAAGTACATTAATAAGATTGAAAATGTATTCCCATATGATTAGAAACAACATAAGACTTATTGTAAACAGTTATTAACTATAACCAAAAACACAACACAATCTACATACAAAGTGATAGAACACTGACTTGATCCTACAACCTACCATTTGAAGTCTAATTCATTGTTCAGCAACGCTGTTATTAGGAATCGGGTGCTAGGTAGGGATGGCAGATCAATAGATGAAGTAAGGAAACTTCATCAGTTGAAGTGGTTGAGATATGTGCTGCGTATGCCTAACCACTGACTGCCTCGACGAGCTTTGTTTTGTAGTGTAGGAAAAGGTTGGAAGAAAGTTAGGGGCGGCCAAACCAAAACATGGCACAAATCCATGAAGTGGACTGAGCCATGTCGGTAATTGTCGACTACCTGGTTGGGGTCCGCGAGATGATAATAATCGATGGTTAGAGACCTTGAATGACATGGCTCAAAATCGTTCACAATGGCACCGGTGCATTTATTCTTTGTGTTCTCTCAAATCCTAATTTTCTGGGTTCTTCAACATCTCTAGTTTTGTCTTTATAAACATATCTCACTGAATCATACTTCTTGAATAATATCTTCTAATCCTAACCTCTCCGATTACTTCTAATACCTTTACTAACTCTTCAACTATTGGATTTGAATTGACAATTACATCTATGTGCTAATGTGGTATGGCAACATAAACTTATGTACATACGTACGAAATTCTACGTTGCAACTGACTGACTGACTGACAATTCATTGTTCACACGTTTTATAGTTCGTTTAAAATAAAATTTAACAACCCAATTCACAATCTTAGTCTTAACCTTTACTAAAGATTGATTATTTGTATTAAAAAACGTGACATTGCCATCATTTTTGTGAAAGAACACAATATTCTATATTTGTGTGTGCATGTGTGTGTGTGTGTTAGTCGAATGTGGACAAATCAACTGATTTGTTGGTTCAAATCAAACAAATAGTCTTAGATAAGTAACTTCATTTGAGAATTTCGGACAAAAAGCAGTTGCTTTTTTTTCTGAAATCCACCTTGTGGACACACTGAGGACGTACATTGGCATACATAGTTATATTAGTAAAGTGTGGAGAAGACAAGTTGTTAAGATTAACCGATCATCAACAATCATCATTACTGTCGAATTTCTAATTCAATCAACAGTGTAAACAGACGAATGATAACAATGTCACTAACTAAGGATTCACTATATATGTTAGGCAGTCAGTCAGTCAGTTGCAACGTAGAACTTCGTACGTATGTACATAAGTTCAAGTGGCCATACCACATTAGCACACAGACGCAAATGTCAAATCAAATCCTATTGTGATAGAGATAGTAAAGGTATTAATGGTAATGAAGAAGACTAGGGTTTGAAGATATTATTCAAGAAGTATAATTCAGTGAGATAAGGTTAGAAAGACAAAGGTAGAGGTGTTGAAGAATCCAGAAGATTAGGATTTGAGAGAGCTCAAAGAATGGATGCACTTGCGCCATTGCAAACGATTATGAGCCATGTCACTCAAGGTCTCTAACCATTGGTGACTTTCGTCTCGCGGACCCCCTACATCTACCAACAGCACTCAGTCCACTTGTCAGTGACTTTATGGATTTCTGCCATGTTAGACACTCGTTTACAATACCAAATTTATCAACTCCACCGGTGTAACAGAGTAAAGTAATCATTGCTTTTCAATCAAACATTATAAAGTAATAATTATTTAACAATTAAAATCACCAACTTACCTCAAACAAACTTTTAAAATTCATAGAACAACATTCACAATAGCCAGATGGTTCATCATTGATAGCAGCAGTAGTTGAAGAAGGTGGTTTAGGATGACTATTTAATGTACAAGAAAAAAAAAGGTTAAGTAATCACAGTAAAAATATAAAAAATTACGAAATTTTAACTAGTATTTATTGACTAAAAAACAGTACATTTGTTTGTATGCTCAAACACACTAACAGCGATTTCAGTGTAATGGACTAGTGGTTGATGCCAATGTACGGTACAACATGACCCGGTTATTTTGTCTACTTACAAAATTAGATGGGAAGATAAACCAAGGTTGATTGATACGTGATTCTCAAACTCTTGGCTGCCATGCAATTTAGAAAGAAGAAACCACAGTCTATGGGGGAAGATATTTTGCGAAGATACAAATAATCGATCAGTCAGTCAGTCAGATGCAATGCAGAACTTCGTACGTAAGTACACCAGTTCATGTCGCCATACCACATTATTAGCACAGAGATGTAATTGTCAATTCAAATCCAATAGTAGAAGAGGTAGTAAAGGTATTAGAATTATTCGGAGAGGTTAGGATCAGAAGATATTATTCAAGAAGTATGATTCAGTGAGAAAAGTTTAGAAAATCAAAATCCAGAAGATTAGGGTTTGAGAGAACACAAAGAATAAATGCACCGGCGCCATTACGAACGATTTTGAGCCATGTCATTCAAGGTCTCTAACCATCGATTATTATCATCTCGCGGACCCCAACCAGGTAGTCGACAATCGATGCTCATAAGTCTATCAAATTTATTTGTCCTGCCTGATCTAAGCATAGTTATGTGAGTATTGACCTTAGTCAAACGGATATATATACACATATTCATCCCTCAGATAAATCAAAGCCTTCCCAGTGTGCATAAACGGTTCCAACTAACGGTATACCTTAATTAGCATTCCTTACCTACCGTTTAGCTTTGAGCTAGCATGTGAACATAGACAGGTGATATATATGCAGATTCGCATACCCGCACTATTACAATGATCTATGCAATACCAGGAAATTCGAGCCACATTACTAAACCAGTAATGAATCTTTTGTAAACAACTTTGAGTTAATTTACAGCAGTCTTTAGTCAACTTATTCATTCATGTACATATCTTACTTGTTTAAAACTTGTTGCATAGAGACTGATGTAAATACCATTATTGCTCAGAAATTAATACACATCACTAATCATATCAACGTGTTAGTCACAATGAAATTACCACACTTCATAGTAGCATAGTGAAAAGAAATTAACAAGAAGACGAAAAACAGTGGAGTCGATATAATAGTAGTTTTGAAACTAAGCCCCATTCTTTGACTTCTCTCAAATTCTAATCTTTGAAATTGCTCATGATTGCGCAGCAGTTCGCTCTGTTCTCCTATATGGATGCGAAACATGGCCGTTAGGAGTAGAAGACGTTCTTAGGTTGCTAGTATTCGATCACAGATCTCTTAGAAGCATTGCTCGTATATCATGGGACAACCGAGAAAGCTATGCTGTCGTTAGGAAACGAGTACTAGGTAAGGATGGCAGATCAATAGATGAAGTGGTGAAACTTCATCAGTTGAGGTGGTTGGGATATGTGTTACGTATGGCTAACCACAGACTGTCTCGTCTAGCTATGTTTTGTGGTGTAGGAGTAGGTTGGAAGAAAGTTAGGGGCGGCCTGACCAAAACATGGCACAAATCCATGAAGACACTGACTAGTGGACTGAGTCATGTTGGTAGATGTAGACTACCTGGTTGGCATCTGCAAGACGAAAGTCACCAATGGTTAGAGACCTTGAACGACATGGCTCAAAATCGTTTGCAATGGCACAGGTGCATTTATTCTTTGTGTTCTCTCAAATCCTAATCTTCTGGATTCGTCAGCACCTCTACCTTTGTCGTTCTCACCTTATCTCACTGAATTATACTTCTTGAATAATATCTTCAAACCATAGTCTTCTGCATTACCATAAATATCTCTACTATCTTTATCAATATAGGATTTGATTTGACATTTCCGTCTCTGTGCTAATGTGTTATGGCAACATGAACTTATGTACATATGTACGAAGTTCTACGTTGCAACTGACTGACTGATGATCGGTTTTTGTCTCTCTTTTTCTAAATTGATTCTTCTGGAATATACTTCTTGAATGATATCGCTGATCACTAATCCTTCGGATTACCCGCCAACACTTTTACTACCTCTACTATTATAAGATTTGAATTGACAATTCGATCTCTGTGAGATGTCGTATGGCAACTTAAACTGATGTAAGTACGGACGAAGTTCTACGTTGTAGTTGAGCGATTGCCTAAAACAAAGTATAATCTATATATTTTGATAGAGTAATGAATGAAGCCATTAGATAAACAGTATACGATAATAATCATAAAAATCAAAATTTGGAGCAAGTTGGAGAAGAAATGAATCTGAACCCCCCAAAGGTTTTTAATCATAAGCATCGATTGTGTGGTAATATCTCAATACAACTTACAACAATAGTCAATAACTTATGTTGGTTAGGGAGCCTGGAACTACCTCTATATCGTTTAGCTTACATTATCACACACCACCTAAATAATTACACTGATGAAAGTTCACAACCTCAAGAACAGATCTCCAATCATTCATTACATGGCACTCTAGACTTAATCTCAGTATAACTTACTCAGTTTGTATTCACCGAAAAAATGAAAAAACGAAGCAAGTTACACAATTACTTGTCTTCATGTAAGAAGATTGTTAAGCAAAAACAAACAAACAAAGAAACGAGTAAAACACTTACATTTCCACTCCTTTAGCAGCTAAAGAAGCGGTACGTTGTAATTGTGTAGCAGTATTATGTTTCTGAAGACGATGTTTACGTTTATTTCGACTATCTCTACGCGTTAAAATTGACTGAGTACCTGTGCCAGGAATACAATGACTTGGATTTTGTAGAGTGAAACCAACACTTGCTCCTGGGACACTACCACTACATGGACCATTGGCAGTAGCAGTAGTAGTAGTGGTAGTAGTATTAGTAATAATAGCAGTAGTAGTAGCCGTAGTCACCGGGTTTGGGGATGACGGAGTATCTTGTACGCCTGCTTCAGTGAAGGATTTAGATTTAGATTTGTAACGATTGGTTAGATTCCACAAATCCGGTAAATAGTCTGTTTTATCTAAATAAATAGGTCTGTAATGATTTTCTACATCAATCACTTTGATACATGGTGCCACTAGATTTCGAACTGAAATCAATAATTTAAAAGAAATATAAAAGAAACTTTAAATTCAGTGATATTACTATAAGGTCGAAATATACATAGAACTATAAATAAAATTTGTATCAATACAAGTTTGCCATGGGGAATGAAAACCACGTAACAACATTTATAAAGGTAGTGTAGTCATAAGGTAGTTTAATTATATAACCGTTTTTAGATTATCATTGAGAGACAGACAGACAGACAGATACAACGCAGAACTTCGTACATAAGTACATCAGCTCAGGTTGCCATTCCACGTCAGCACAGAGAAGTAACTGTCAGTTCAAATCCAAGAGTGATAGCGATAGTAGAATTATTAGCAGCAATGGAGAAGATTAGGGAGCGAAGATATAATTCAAAAAGTATAATTCAGTAAGATAAATTTAGAAGGAGAAAGGTGGAGATTCCGAGGAAGCTTAGAATTCCATAGAACACAAAGAGTGGATGCACCTGCATCATTGCAAACGGTTCTGAGCCATGTCGTTTGAGGTCTCCAACCATTGGTGACTTTAGTCTCGCGGACCCCGACCAGGTAGCCTACATCTACCAATATGACTCAGTCCACTTGTCAGTGACTTCATGCATTTCTGCCATGTTTTGGTTTGCCCGTCCCTAGCTTTCTTCCAACCTACTCCTACACCACAAAACATAGCTTGTCGAGGCAGTCGGTGGTTAGGCATACGTAACACATGTCCCAACCACCTCAACTGATGAAGTTTCAATGCTTCATCTATTGATTTGCCATCCCTACCTAGAACTCGTTTGCTAGCAACAGCATTGCTTACTCGGTTGTCCCACGATATACGAGCAATGCTTCGGAGACACCTGTGCTCGAAGACTAGTAACCTACGAATGTCCTCTACTCTCACCGGCCATGTCTCGCATCCGTATAGTATGACAGACATAACTGCTGCGCAGGACACTCGTCCTTTGGTCAACAAGCGGATATGATGCAGGTTAGCAAAAGCCAGTCGAGCCTTATGTATTCGAGCTGAGATTTCGTCAGTCACCAGGCAATCGGCACTGATGAGACTACCAAGATAAGTGAAGCGGTCTACACGTTCGACTACTTCACTCCCTATCACTAGTTCAGGTGCCGATGAAACCCAATCTTGAAGCAACATTTTGAATTTCGAGGGGGGAAGCCGCATCCCGAACATGCTTGCATTGTTGCTTAGGGTGGTCAGAAGACTCTGCATTTTGTCAGCATCTTCACCAAGTAGGACTATGTCATCGGCATATGCTAAGTCGATAAGCGAGCCTCCTGGTAAAAGGTCTACTCTTATATGTATACTTCATGACAACAGGCACTCGTAATCGAAAATAATATTAGTTTTTTTAAAACGTAGTGTTAAAATAACCAATCGACTAAAGTGCACGTGGACTGAGAATTAATCGATGCCCTAACTCACAATCTACGGCTGCATAGAAGACTATTCAAAAAAATACAAGTGAAATGTATTTAACAAAATAACTTTCGTAGTGACTAAACAGTCATTGAAATATAAAACACCTTGAAATATAAGAATATTTACAATCAGTGAGCAATAGAATTCTCTTTTGCCTTCTTGCTTTCACCTGTTTCTCCCAATGGAGCATACATAGGCCGCCGACCAGCATTCTCCAACCTACTCTGTCCTCGGCCTTCCTTTCTAGTTCTGTACGACTCCCGTTCATTTTTCTCATGAGTGTTTCTACTTATCGGTGTATTGTGTTTCTTGGCCTTCCTGTCTTCGATCTACCCTGAGGATTCCGGGTGAGGGCTTGTCTTGTGAATTATACTTTTCGAATCATATCTTTGTTCCCTAATCTTCTCCATTGATGCTAATAATCTTACTATCGCTATCACTCTTGGATTTGAACTGACAGTTGCGTCTCTGTGCTGATGTGGTATAGCAACCTGAACTGATGTACTTATGTACGAAGTTCTGCGTTGTGTCTGTCTGTCCCTCTGACTTGTATTGTGACGCAGTTAGATGATTTATACAATGGGTGTCCTATCTACTTCCAACACTTTTTCTTAATGTCTCCCTCCTCTGGTAGCTAGTTTATTCCATCCCATAACATGTTGTGGCTGATACAGTCTGGCCAGTCTGGACAACTGTTAATCAATAAATGTATCTTGCAGATGATGACTTTCGTGATTCTCCAAGTTTCCGCTTCGTACAGTAAAACTATCTTAACATTTGTATTGGAAATTCTGACTTCAGTGTTGGTTGATAGTTGCTTTGAGTCCCACATGTTATCCAGTAGTACAAATGATCTAGCTTTGCCGATCCGCGCCTTCACATCTGTATCAGACACACTATGCTCATCAATGATGCTACGCAAATATGTAAAGACTTTTACATCTTCCAAAGCTTTACCAGACACCATCAGCAACAACCTACTGTGGGAGAGAACAAACCAGATTCCAGTGGAGGAGGAAATCAGGAAGAAGTGGTGGAAGTTGTGGATAGGACACACTACGAAAAGCACCTAACTGTGTCACAAGACAAGCCCTTAAATGGAACCGTCAAAGCAAAAGGAAAAGAGGAAGGCCAAGGAACACATTACGCCGAGAAATAGAGAAAGATATGAGAGGAATGAACAAACATTGGACAGAACTGGAGAGGGAAGCCCAGGACAGAGTTGGTTGGAGTAAACTGGTGGACGGCCTATGCTCCATTGGTGTGAACAGGCGTAAATAAGTAAGTATGTATGTAGGTTGTGTTGTACCGGATAATCTTGCTTTTCCTTTTGTGCCGCTGATACTGCTACACCACACTGGTCGTCTTCTCTGGCATTTGTTGTTGCATGTACGATGGAGCAGTCAGATTATCTGCGAATCCTTAACTCAGAGTCATTATCAAAATCAAAATGAAAGGATACGACGAATCGATGGTAACCAACTTGTATTCTCTTAAATATATTACTAGTTAAAAAGTTGACTAGATTCTTTTATTCAATTTTTAAAACAGTTTATTTACTTATTTATTGCATTAGTATAAATACGTGCAATCAACGATCAATATTTTCTTTTCGTTTTAGTAAAAGAAACCGAGAATCCTACATTCTACTAAACATATAATAATTTAATAATAAATACCATTAATAGTAATAATAATAATAATTAAAACTAAAGTTTAGAAATTATTCCAATGTAAATAGATATAAATATTGATTGGTATATATAATACTCAATTACGACAAAGCCAATAATAATCGACACTTATTCAGTAATACTGAATAACTAACTGTAGAAAGATAATTTAATGGTGCGCGCTACTTTTAAGTAGTATATGACGCGAGTGTAAACGTATAACGTCTGGCAGCAGAAGATGGGGGGGAAGATCAAGAAAGGAAGAAGAGTAGGAACACAATGGAATTTGTATGAAATGCATGAATAGTGAGTGACATGTCAGACAATGGATTGATGATGGATTGAAGATTTGCAAATTAACCGTTTACGATATGGTTTTCCTATTTTACTGAGTAACTCTGTAATTTTCATTAAATACAATTCGGTTGCCCTCACACCTGTGTTCTCCTTCACTACACTATGACAAAATGTTCTTCAACTATGTCACAACACAAGCCTTCACTAGGACTCCTCAAGGCCAAAGGAAAAGAGGAAGGTTAAGGGACAGACAGAGAAGTCATGAGAAGAATGAATAACAATTGGACAGAACTTCAAAAGGAAGGCCTAGACCCAAAGTCGGTTGGAGAATGCTATGGTCAATGGCCTATGTATGCTCCATCGAGGTGACAGGTGTAAATAAGTAAGTTGAAAATGTTTACCTAACATGTAATTTCATTAATAAATTGATTTAGGCTTAAATTGATTAGAAGATATATTAGAATGTATAAAAAAACTCAAATGTTCAACACAAAATACAGTCAAATCGTTAAAAGTTTCAACGTTTGACATAACTTTCATCAATCCAAATTTATTAATAATTATTGACGGGGGTAGGTAGGATGAATTAGTTTTAATATTGCCCAAAATATAATAAACAGTAAGTCAGTCAGTCAGTTAGTTGCAACGTAGAACTTAGTACGTATGTACAGAAGTTCATGTTGCCATACCACATTAGCACAGAAGACGCAAATGTCAAATCAAATCCTATAGTGATAGAGATAGTGGAGGTATTAATGGTAATGAAGAAGACTAGAGTTTGAAGATATTATTTAAGAAGTATAATTCAGTGAGATAAGGTTAGAAAGACAAAGGTAGAGGTGCTGACGAATCCAGAAGATTAGGATTTGAGAGAGCATAACGAATGGATGCACTTGAGCCATTACAAACGATTTTGAGCCATGTCGTTCAAGGTCTCTATAACCATTGGTGACTAACATCTCGCGGACCCCAACCAGATAGCCTACATCTAGCAACATGACTCAATCCACTTGTCAGTGACTTGATGGATTTATGCCATGTTTTGGTTTGGCCGCCCCTAGCCTTCTTCCAACCTCCTACTCCTCTACACCACAAAACATTTAACTCTAACATAATAATAATAATAATAATAATAATAATAATAATAATAATTACACAAAAGATTCATAAAATTAATTACCTTCATGAATTCGATCACGCTCTGGATCATTATCAAAATGATCATTATGATCTGTTCGTTGGATAGACTAGAACAAAATAGAATTTTTTTCAAAAAAAAAACTTTGATCTACAAGGGGATAACAATCGATAACCAATAAAAACAATATCCAGTTAATTAGATTGGTGAAAAGCTGTAAACATGGAACATTTAGTCTTTTAAGGTTATTTACAAAAGTTGATCTTATTAGGGGTACGTCGTTATTTTTGTGGTAAGTAAAACATTGACATATTTTCATTTGTGCATTGGTTATTATGTTTAACACGCATATCAATAAGTCAAAACGATTCATGTCACGAGATTATCACAGTCACATTTATGATATCATAAATTGAATGGCTAATTATAGATATATTTAAAATAAGATTCAATATGATGGAGTAGGTTTTTTAAATCAAACTCCATTGTATCGACTTTCGTTTGAACATCCTTACAGTATCATTGTAAGCCACCGAACAATAAATAGGTTTGACTCGAAATCAAGCACAAAATACTATGAGTTAAAATTGATATTTGGTGAGATGAAATGAACAGGATATAGATGGAAAATGGGCTACAATAGTAATGCTTTCAGTGATACTACAAAAAGGGTTAAATGAAAAATTGTACAATATGCTCACTAGTGACTAGCTTCATGAGGAAATTCTCGGAGTACTAGAGAGTAGACGTGACCAGTGGAGTTCAACTCTATCGGGTATAGACAGTAACAATCAAAGACAAGTGGGTAAGGTCACGCAAAATCCTTAGATTCAACAGAGTTAGACATTAACACTGTTGAATGCCAGCCCAGTGGTGAAGAGGTTAGGTGTTCACCAGCGCAAGACCGAAAGTCCTGGGTTCAAATCCTGCAAGTTGCAGGAGTCGTGGTTTCGAACTGCCAATGAGTCTCATACCAGGACGAGACGGCCGTTCAGTGCTTCCAGGTTTCTAATGATAGTCTAACAACGATTGATTCATGACAATAAACAACAATCTTCTCATAACGCTAAATGAAAAATATTCGTTTGAAAAAACAAACAAACTAATATCTACCTGAATATATGATTGAACATCTGATGGAAGATTTTTTATCCATTTTGTTACAGCTACAAATTAAAAACCCATGGAATAAGGAAAAAAGATTAATGGGGGAAAAAAGAGTAAAATTATTCAAAATACTAAAGAAAATTGTCAATGAAAAATCTGTAAAAATAACCCTACACAACTGATCAGTGAATAAAACCAATAGATCATAAATAAATAAGGCATAGTGTGATTCTTTTCGTTGGCCAGACACCATCAGTAACAACCTACTGTGGGAGAGAACAAACCAGATTCCAGTGGAGGAGGAAATCAAGAAGAATCGGTGGAGTTAGTGGATAGGACACACATTGCGGAAAGCACCTAACTGCATCACGAGACAAGCCCTCGCATGGAACCCTCAAGGAGAAAGGAAAAAAAGGAAGGCCAAGGAACACACTACGCCGAGAAATAGAGAAAGATATGAGAGGAATGAACAAACATTGGACAGAACTGGAGAGGGAAGCCCAGGACAGAGTTGTTTGGATTGAACTGGTGGGCGGCCTATGCTCCATTGGGGGTAACAGGCGTAAGTAAGTAAGTAAGTAAGTAGTGTGATTCTTGAAGTTGGGAGGCAATAAAGGATAGTGATGTGAAAATTTCAAAAACTATCAGTTGATAGTAAAGTAGACGTAACTTTGGCATATAAGAAGTGCTGATTTATAAATCTCAAAAAAATATAATGAGATATTCAAATTTTTACTGATAATCGCTATAAATTTATGTATGTGTTGTTTTAGGACAAAGCCATGTCGGTAGTTGTCGACTACCTGGTCGCGGTCCGCGAGATGTTAATAATCGATGGTTAGAAACCTTGAATGACATGGCTCAAAATCGTTCATAGTGGCGCCGGTGCATTTATGCTTTGTGTTATCTCAAATCTTAATCTTCTGGATTCTTCAACACCTCTAGTTTTGACTTTCGAAACTTTTCTCACTGAATCATACTTCTTGAATAGTATCTTCTAATCCTAACCTCTCCGATTACTTCTAATACCCTTACTACCTTTTCTACTATTGGATTTGAATTGACAATTACATCTCTGTGCTGATGTGGTATGGCGACATGAACTGGTGTACTTACGTACGAAGTTCTACGTTGCATCTGACTGACTGACTGACTAATTGTATATTATTAAAAGTTGGAATAAATAGTTGTACAGTGATATTTTTATATTCCACACAATATTTGCTGAGATCAACAACAATTCATATCAACACTCCAATGCAAATGAACTACACCATAGTCAACTGTATTCATAAAGCGCCATTTTTGAGTAAGTTCAGTCAGTCAGTTAGATGCAACGTAGAACTTCGTACGTAAGTACATCAGTTCATGTTGCCATACCACATTAGCATAGCGATGTAATTGTCAATTCAAATCAATAGTAGAAGAGGTAGTAAAGTTATTAGAAGTAATCGGAGAGGTTAGGATTAGAAGATATTATTCAAGCGAGAAAAGTTTAGGAAGTCAAAACTAGAGGGGTTGAAGAATCCGGATGATTAGGATTTGAGAGAACACAAAGAATAAATGCACTAGCGCCATTGCAAACGGTAGGTTCTATGAAATAGAAATGATTGGTTATCTATCGACTTTCAGATGCTGAGAAAGTTATTTATCTTTTTGAAGCTTACATTTCAGTAAACTTGATAAAAAGAAATTAAGTTATCTAGCTAGTATCTGTTTTTAGTAATAAGTTGCACCAACATAAAGATCTGTCCTAAACAATGTAGCTGTTACTGCAGTCAGTCAGTTACAACGTAGAATTTTGTACGTACGTACATCAGTTCAAGTCGACATACCCACATTAGCACAGAGATGCCATTGTTAGCTTTTACTTAAGGTTTACTAATATTAACTTTACATAACATTGAAATGTATCAGTCATTTTCAGTAAACCTGGTTTATCAGTGATAGAAAGCTTTTAAAATTTAACCTCACAAAAGACTACGGACTAGTTCACTGGTGAAAAAGATATGTAAAACTTACTATCAAAGGAGAGAATTTTAATACCTAACTGACGAGCTTTGAATAACAAGTCATTATTTGAATTTGATTTCTGACTAGATCCCAATACACAAGATATAGATGATGACTGAGAAGATTGTGTGGGTGCAATAGATACATCACTGGATGTTTGAGCCTAAATTTTGAGAAAAAGTAAGAAAATTACAAAATATAAGTCAAATTGAAACATCGTAAAGAAAACATGAGCCGCTGATAGATAATCCTAGGAAAAGATTAGTGTATTTCTGGTGTCTATTGAATTGACAAGGGCTTAGAAATACACTCCGTCATGCTCCTGAAAACGATATAGAGCAATAGCAGACCAAACGTACGGATAAAAAGCACACACAATGATCGTGAGCAGTGGTGGGTAGCAAAAGCAAAGGAGGTGGAAAGGGCAACAGGATTATGTAACACTAGACAACTATTCCGAATCATCAAGCAAAGATGTAATAAAAATTTGGTTGTTAGTGAAACAATCTATTTTAAACAACAGGTCAAATGAATTCTAGCTACATATCAGTTTGAAACATCCAGAATATGAGATTGGCTTAACCTCCCTGCCCCAATCCTAAATGGAATTTAAAGGACTGTAAGTGATTTGTATGCAAAAACAGAGGGTCTTAATTAATGGACTGCATAAATCTTTACGGATGATAGATCAGTTTCAGATGTCAGACTGACAAAGCATTAGCCAGAATCTGGTACCCTTACATAATCCCATCTGACTCATCTATTTAGTTAATCGTTCCAGCCTATAAAAAGAAGACCAAAATCCTCTTTTTAAAACCATAGAGGGATGGTTTCGACTGATATAACTATCCGACAATTAATTAGTATCCGTTTAGAGAAAAATTGGGAAAACCAGGCTGCTTTCAGCTCTGCACGTGGGTGTGTTGACAAATTATTCGCCTTATGTAAGACTCTGTAGCACAAAAATACTTCTTGACGTTTGATGATAACTGCTATTCTTGATTTTGAGATTGATGACTGGGAAGTTCTGTCAGAGTTTGCCAGTGAAAGGTGTATCAAAGAAGTACATCAGTCTTGCCCTGACTGTAGCAGATACCTCGACGTGGCAGTCAGGTTTGACTATTTTCATTACTTGACCGGGCTACATTGGCTGCAACACTTCTTCCTTAATGTCCTGCCATGCTAGGTAAGTTGGTTGGAGAATGGTAGGAATAAAGAAAGCGACTTATGTTCACAGGGCGAAGACATACTGCTGATTGCAGAGGTGTGACAACAATCAGGTGTTTACCTCGGACGACGAAAGGAACGGGTTAGAAAAGGGAGACTGTATAAATGTAGCAGGTCTCCTTACCTCATAGATCTCCGGTGGTAAAGCCTTTTGAAGAGCGGATCTAACACTTGAAAAACTCATAAGGTCTTGCGCGGCTGATCTCGAACAGTTTGTTCTAGGGCTTTGCAACTATGCTTCCAGGTCAGTAAGATTACCATTAACCCAGATTCTTTTTCGCATCTCTTGAGAAGTATCCTTCCACGGTGTGGGCAGTCCAGAAGTCATAACCATCCTCAAACCTCGAGGAGCACCTAAGACTATCCTGTTCATGGCCGAATCTCTCCCTGATGTCTTAACAGATTTTACATCCCCACGACTAACTATTCTCGTACATCGTTATCTTTGCGCACTAATAATTTGAGCTCAAAAAAGGTTATTTCTGGTCTGCGGAAACCGCGCTACTAGTTTGAAATAGATCGCAGTGAAGTAAACACCTTTATTCTCAAAGCCCATAGGTTTTGGGTGTTAATTTTATTTTATGCACTCAATTATGAAAAACTTATCCACTTTGTTTCGACGTATTTTATCTACATATAGATCAGATTATTCCGTTTTTAATAGAGGGACAGCAGTTGGTTGCTGTCAGTTCGTATACGTGCATCCTGAGTAGATTTTCTCAATAATGCTTTTAGTTACGAGTTTTAGTAGATTTGGGTTGCTGTCCAATCAAGGAATATGATATTGTTAGACAAAATAGTAACCGTCTGAATTCAGTACCTTAGTGGATGACGCGTTGGTGTTTGAAAGGTCTTAGTTTGAATAAGATGAGATGAAGCGCTCACCACACACTCCACAACTAGCAACAATGCGAATATACTAAGATATACTTCTTATGTTTAATCTTTTCTATTATCATACTCACCACCGACGCTTTGACTCATTTCCTACACACATTGTTAGACAGACAGATACAACGCAGAACTTCGTACGTAAGTACATCAGTTCAGGTTGCCATACCACACATTGCTAATCTAACCCTTATACTATCATGATGAAACTGGGCTCGATAAGAATTTGCTGAAAGTATGAGTTCCTGATGACTGACTTACTTCCACCAAGTCATTGTATCACAAATAATGAAGACGAAATGGACTTATTTGTGTAAGTGCCTTTAAAATGGTTGCAAAACGAAGATCATGTTACAACACCTTGTCATTACAAAATCCAGAACGAATCACCTTAAAACCGTTTGATATTTAAAGTATCAAATAGACAATGTAGTATCTGTCATGAATTTGTATTGGTTTAGGTTTAGTTTATTAAAATAGGTGGCTATCCTGAAAATTTGATGTTAGAGACAAATCTAAAAGTAAAACTGACATTATAAAAAAAAGAATTTTCGAGTTAATAATTTATATCGGTGGAATAATGATCAACTTACTTGACTTAATACTGATGAAGCTGTAAGACCTGAAGGTGTAGGATTCGAATCTTCAGTAGCGATTTTGCGCGCAGCGAGTAACATAGCTCTACCCCGTGTTACCGGGTTGTTAACAGGTTTACTTCCCGATAGCATAGGAACTTTAAGACTACTCGGTGTTTTTGAAATAGATGAGAACTGATTTTGGAGTGAAGCGGATTGCTTTGACAGTGTGACAGGTGATTCATCAATGACAGGCGATGTCAATCGAGATGCTGCCCGATTAGTTATAACATAATCAACATCTCGACTAAAAAATTCAACTATTTCCTACGTTTTGTGAAAAGAAATAACATAAAACAACTATCAAGTGGATAATTGAGGTGTAGGTTACTGTTTCAACAGAAGGTAATTTACAATGATTGGTTTGAGAAATCGACTTTATACTACAGGTTCCTTTGTTGGAAACCTAACACTACTTCGGAAGAAACATCCGTTAGATTTCTCTAGAACATACCTACTTCTGTTGGGTGGTACTGAAAACTACATTCACGCTAACTCTACGAAGAATGATCGAAAATCACTCGAGATATTAGTCTGTGAAGCTGACGAACATCGTTCAAAAACTGCCCAAGGACGAGATGAATGACGCAGAGGATAACTAACGGATACTGATGAAACTGTGAATGATTTATATCATCAGAGACGCAACTACCAACACTCAAACAACGACCCATGCACAAACTTTTTGACTAACAGTTCTATTTGTGGTAGACTTAATTAAGTACTGTGGACTCAGAATTAAAATCTAATATGGTGAGCAAGAAGCCCAAGAAGTTAAAATTAAAAAACGAACTAAACGTAGAATTACGTCAAATCTCTTGGGTTAACCATCCTCGATAAACTGAAAGTCTTTCGATAAAGACTCAAAAACTAGAGACTAAAACAGTAACAAGTGTTAACACTCATAAACCTGATTCTTGAGAGTTTTTGTGTTATCACTGACCTTCACCAAAAGACCACGACTAGTCAAAATGAGCCTTCAAAAATATATCAAACAGAATCGTCTGTTAAATAAAAGCAAGCACCCTGATAATTAAAAGGTAGTTGTTAACATGACCGTTACAGAAAATCCCGACATTTGGGACTTGCAAACATGAGTACCGGCAAAATAAGCGATAGTGAGATCCAACTTCTGGGCTCCTGGCATTCTGAGTGGGATAGTCAGGTATAGGGTAGATCCGACTATCCTGCAGCAGAATTCGCTTTCTGTAAGAGCAGTAGACGCAATAGCATACAACTCCGAAGTGTGGTGATACGAAATCGGTTCGAGGTTTAAAAATATATTATTGTAGTAGAAAACTGAAGATTTGAATATAAAGCCGAAATCCGGATCATATAGCTTTAGAAGCCTCATATTATGCAAACTCAAGTATCCGTTAACCGGGTAAGCTTAAGAACATAGTCACCAAAGAATCTTTTTTACCAGAAGCCATTAGAATTTGGATTTTTACAATTCATTCAGAGCATTAGTGATTATAAAACGAAGACGTACTAAGTGATTTTCATTTGAGTTAGTGAAATAGTTGCATCTCATGACAGACAACTAGAAAAATGGAGGGGCGATGAATAATCATATTAGAAAAATCCTGACTTACGATATGTCCCATTAATAAATAGCTATGGAAACAACGACATAACAAATGGTGTTCAGGTCAAAAGCTCCTGGTTAAAAAACAACTTACTATCTAGAAAGAGTACAGAGAATTTTTACCATCTCCTACAGTGTTTATGGTAATGAAGGCTAAACACATAAAGTACCACTAGAAAAGTCGTGTAATGGCTTCGATATTCTGCTCCCTAAATCACTTGAAATTTAATCTTCCAACCTATGTTTTCAAATCAGTGGTGATATTGAATTGCTTCATATTGATCAGATAAGGACTAACACTTCACGAATATTCATCTATTTAAATGATTGTCCCAGTTTTTAACCACATTTTTCCTAAAAGTGTGGGGATACTATGTACTAGAGAAATTTGACCGACATAAAGCAACCAAGAAAAATGCGTTCATTTACTGGGATCCGAAGACGGTTATAAATTGGTGTAGGGAATTAGAACTAGGATTTAGAGCTAAAAGTTATAGCTCAGAACTGACATCAGTTGTAATACCAAGTTGCTGCTTGGCTATACATATGAACAAACTTAGAGCCAAAATCCAAGACTAGCTTAAATCTGATTAGTTCGTTAAATAACTAAACTCTCCAAAAACTACCCTACTAAGTTCTGTTTAAAACTAAGTGTCAAGCCTATGGATAGAACTGTTGATATGAAACCGACTACATATGAAACATTTGGGTAAACTAATATCAAAACAAAAGATGGTAAACTTGCTCCTTTAAGCTTCTTCAGAACTTGTTCCATCTGTTTATCACGAGCTGTGCCTGATTCGTAATGCATGAACAACTTTTTTCCGAGGAGCGGAGCGAGTCTGTTTTTTGGTGGTGAGAACGACTTTGCAATTCTTTCTGCACCCATGTTATCATCAAGCAGAGAGCTTTCTGACTTTATAGGTGGTAATCCAAAGGTCGAGTGACTACTCAGTGATTGACGCTCACAGCCATGCTTGCAGTCACCCATACTTCCTTAGCCTTAAGCCGTTAGTAAGTTGGCGTCTAGGCTGAAGGTGTGGTAGTAATGAGGGTGTGGGAAGAAAGGCGTAGAAACCTACAACAGTAGAGGAATAACCAGGTAAGTATATAAAATGCAAGCAGACATTTTCTATAACTTATTGACAATAACTAACTAGGAGGCAAAGGAATCTGAAGTGATCTAGTGTCTACAAGTACTGACCCAACCAACACTTGAAACCTTACAAACCAAATTGTCATCACACACTTGACCTTAACCTTGAACCTGGCTGACTGATTAAAACGCTTTCACTGTAAATAGTTGTAAATGAATAAATTCAGGTTGACTAAACTGAACAAGATTTCTTTCAAAGGGTTCAAGGTCAGTGGGTACCAAGACTCCTATACCTTTCTCAACTTGGAATACCTCCATATGGGAGTTGCTTAAGTCATACTCATAGTCTGTATCATGTCTTATACCTTCTTTGTTGTATTCATAGTTCGATTTCGATCCTTTCGAAGTTCATACTTATTATTTTAGCTATAAAACTTCTCTTCAATCACTAAGATCATCATCACAAATTATTAACTCAGACGATACTTGTTGAGGAATGTCATTGATCAAAAGTGAGATTATAATAATAAGATGATCAAAGGTCCTAGTACTGAACACTAAGGGACTCTAACCGGAAATTCCGTATAGTGATAAGAATCAAAGTTGAGCCTGACCTTCAAATCTCGACTGTTTAGAAATGAATTCAACTAAACTTTGATGGTGGCTCGATACCTAACCGTTCGAGCTTATTGATGAGACACTTATGTGTGGCCCTATCGAAAGCTCTTGAGAAAACAGGAGAGACCACATCAACCCTCGATTGGTGATGGACGATTGTTGAACAGCTGCCAATGGTAGTCAGCAGGTTGATCATACAGCAATGCTCGTTCCTAAAACCATGTTGATGAGGAGAAACGTGGTTTACTGATTATAATCAGTCGCTTTGACCAAAGACTTGATAACTTTTAATGGTAATGAAAAAATACCACCAGGCGGTAGCTCGAATGTTTATTGTGTCGACCAACTGTTTGGGAACACGCCTTGACTTACCGAATGACAAAACATCACACTAAGCGGTGTTGCTAAGACTGAAGGCGCTTCATACAAGATGGCAGAGTTAACCATGCCCCGGCTAGAAGTGTGGTGTTTAGATGGTGCAGTTTTTGATAAACCGTATCAGCTCTCTGTTCTTATACCTGAGATTTTCCTTAGAATGCTGTAGATCTCTTGTGACGTTCGAAATGTTTAAAGATAGCGTTTTGCCGCTAAAGTTGTTATTATTATTATTTTATTTAGTGGGTATCTCGATTGACTAAATGCATCTTTCCCATGACCAAATACAAACCAGCAGCGAACGCTGTGTTTAATTTGTTCTCTTCTGTTTTGCATGTACGTGAATCGGCCTGATAATGTACTTTTGGAAGTG